ACTGACACGTAGCTATGGTGAGCAACCACCAATTTGTCTGAGCCATGGGGTTATTTCACAGCCTGTTTCAAGCAGCAGGAAGGAGAAAAAAAAGGAAGACAAAAAGGAGGCTGGCTCTTCTGCTGCCCTGGAAAATGCAGCCTGGCAACCTCCACACAAAAAAACACAAAGGGCACAGACAGTGTCTTGCAAATGGGGGCTCATGAGCCTCTCCGAAGGGCTGGTGGGGAGCAGCTCTTTTTACACATCTCATTCCTGGTGTGCGCTGTTTTCCTCCACACAGATAGTGCAATCTGTGTTTTCATAGCAAATTCCTAAGAAATTGCCTAAAAAACAGGCTGGGAAGAGAGCATTTCTGGCTGTCAAACTCAGCTTAGGTAAGCTATCTGTAAAAGGGCTGGTCCAAGACCAGACCTGTGTATAAAAAAATAAGACTCACAAATAAAATAGCTTCAAACCTTTCAAAGCCCAATATTCACTGAGCATATTCAACCTTTTTCTTAATATTGTTTGTTTTTTAAACAGGTAACAGCAGCACCATATACTTCCCTGGTGATAGGCTGCTTTGCAGGAATATGTGTCATCTCCTACACTGTTTGCTTTACAGAAAAAAAAAAGAATATTTGCACAGTATTACACCTGTTATCTCATGACATTTATGTGATGAGCTCTAGGGGCAGAGTCAAAGCTCAGGTGCTCAAGATACCTTCCCAACAAAAACTATTGCACAGTAAAGTATCACAGAATACATCCCACCTACCTCAGAGACACGTGCCATGGGGAAGCAGGGGGAAGAGGCAGATGTTTTGGGAATGATAAGAGCTCCTGGGATGATCCATGGTCCCACACAGTGCAGGGGGATGAGTCAGGGTGAGCCAGTACAGGCAGTGCCCTCACCACCACGGTCTCTCCAGAAGCACTTGAGGCTGGGTCCCCACTCCATCAGCACCTTCCAACTCAGCAGTGGCACAAAGGAGCTTCGGGTGCTTCCAGGAACAGCAGCTGTGGAGCAAACAGAGGAAACACAAAGGCTGCAGCACAGGCTGAAAAACCTATCTGGCCTGAAGGCTGAGCTTAAATGTGCTCCTGAGCCCAGGGCTGTGGCTGGAGACAGCAAGTGAGGCTCCTTAGGGCCCTTAAAGCCCATTAGGGCCCTCAGGTCACACCTGGGTCCTCTTGACCAGTATGTCCCATACAACCCCAGGGCACCCGGACCACACTGTTCCTACCCATCTAACAGGGACTGGAGGGAAGGCTCCCCCTGCACAAAAGCATGGATTTTAGCAGGAAGAGAGCCTGCACACGTTTGAAAGCACACAAATTAGAACAGCACTGAGGAAGGACACATCAGGTACACTTGAACAAAGAAAAAACCTCTTGCATGGTTGTATTCACCTCTAATTGCTCTAATAAAGCTTGAAATAAAATTTGGAGGACAGCGAAGGCAGAAGGTTGAAAAAATAGGGAGAATCTCTCCATTCAGGGATTTTGGAGAGTTTTAAGTGCCATCAGTACAATTATTTGGGAACTGCTCACGTCCCTTCAGTTTTTCTCTTGGAGGGAAGGATTGATGCAGCTTGTTGGCAGGGTCAGTGTAGTGGCAAAAAGGGAGGTAGTAAAGATGCTGGGGGGGCATAATAGGCAGGCTTTGCAGCTGAAGGTCACTTAGAGGGGAAGAAAGTAATAGAGGAGAAAAAAAGTTAATTAAATGAAGTCAGCAGAGGCATCCCTTTATCATGTACAGACTCATACGCTCCGGAGCCTGCAAACCTCTTCCCTGTGGCCCTGGAAACCTGCCTTCACCACTCAAAGCCAAGCCCTCCAGCAGCAAAATCCAAGAACTGGTTTGACGCAGCCGTTTCCCCCTTCTTGGATCGCAAGCCCAGTCCTGCCTCAGCACACAGCTGAGCTGACACGGTCCTGACTCCGACACCCCGCAGACTGGACCGGGATCCGTCAGCGGCGGCAGATGAAAAGCAAAGAGAAAACCACAGAAGATCACAAGGCACGGGAAAGCTGATATGGGGCAGGAATTATGAGACTTGAGTAGAAGCTGGAAGGAGAGATGTCTGAAAATGAGGAGCAAAGCATGGCACAACACTCAGCAGAGAACAAGCCATCCTCCCCTTCCAGCACCAAGAGCTCATGGTGAGGAAAAGAAATTGGAATGAGTGGAAAAGCCCTGGAGCTGAGGTGGCTATGACAGATAGACAGGCAGACCTGCTTTCACAGGCTGCTGGTTCATGGTAGAAAAGATGGGTGGCACTGAACATATAAAGCCACTATAGGTTATTATAACACATCATCTGCTGTGCTGAGCAGAGCTGAAGAATTTCAGCTGCTTGTTTTGTGTTGTTGAATGTCTTCCAGCAAAGCCATCCTCCTGGCTTAGAGGGTAGCGAGGGATGGAGTATCCCCTGATTCCCATGGCAGTTTGCTCCATGGTGAATCATCCTCACTGCTAAGAGGACCTGCTGCCAATTGTCCTGTTAGCAATGTCCCTTGGGAAAATGACTCTTTCCTTTCTTTTCTTTGCTACTTTGCCTTTGCTCTTTTTCACTGAGTCACCCCATAAAGATTTACCCCCATGGGGCCTGCTCTGTACTCAGTTATCTCCTGCTTCTCCCTCTGGCTCCATATTTAATCAGTGAGGGGGTTTTTTCTACTTGCTTCCAGGTCTTTCCTAAAAATTCCTGAATAATAAAAGGCTGGAGTGGGTGTCTTAACTAAAGACTACCCACAAAAAAAAAGAGAAAGTAACAGAACCCTTAGGGAGCCTTTCCCTCCACCCTCCCATCTGCCCCAAGGTGATCAGATGCTGGAAACAGAGCTGGAAATTCCTCAGCTAGTCAAGAGCAGTGCTGGCTGAACCCTGAGATGGTACAACACCTTAGAGACTGGCCACTGGTACTGGTATTCCCCTGTCTGGGGAGTGTTTGGATCTCATTATTTCCATTAGACATTTTTGATGATAATCTGGACATGAAAATTCCCTGAAAACAACCACAGCTTGAGGTTTGCAGGCTTTGATGCAACAGCCCCTGTTTCCTCCATTCTGCTTCCACCTGGGTTCAGCTGGGGGCACGTTGACCACCCTTTGCCAAAGTCCACCCTGACATCACACCTCGGTGGCAAAGTCCCCATGTGCCTCCCTGGCCCGGGCACGGTGACCTGGTTACACTGACCACCCTGCTTTGCCCGTGGATTCTGGAGCTGCCACATCAGATCCTGCAGCCAGAGACCCCCATGGCAATCCAGCAGCTACCAGTGGGACAAGGACCACCTGGAGCATAAGAGTGGGGGGGGCTCAGCACCCCAATTCTGTCTGTAAACCCTCCCACCAAGTCATTTTCAAGGGAACTAGCAGTGTCCAAATAAGGAAGTGATGATCTTTGACCATATTACATTGATTTAATTTATGAGAAGAGGATTTGCGCTGGCAGGTTGTGCCTGGGTGGAAATGGGAGATCACATGTCCCTTGGGTGATACCCAAGGGGCTGGAGGAGCACCCAAGATTCCAGGAGCATTGATTCTAGGACCATGCATCTGTCCATAGGTTTTCAAAGTTCCATCAGGCATCTTTCCAAGAGCATAACAGATGGGTTTGGGAAGAATGCTTCACAAAGTTTTATAACTCCCTCTGATTTTTTCTGCTTTACTCTTTCACAGATTCTCACAGACAAAAGCAAGAACCAGGTCTGGTGGAAGAGAAAGCAGATGAAAACAGGCACTGAAGCTCCTTGTGCCTCCTGGTCTCCCCTCCAGCTCTAACAAACCCACAGGAGTTTTCTCTCAGAGCAGAGAAAACGGCACAGTTGACTGAGAAAGCTGCACATCAGAGAACAGGATTCATTTCAAAGTGACACATCAAAGTCTGAGTTAGGTATTAAATTTCCAACATAACTGAGGGAGTGAAATAAATACCATCAGAGGGAGATTAGTGGCACAGTAAGGCAGTGCCCAAGCTTGGGGCACGTGGCATCCTCCAAAGACACCTCTCCCTTTCTGCTGCCTTTAGAAGGATCTGAGATAGTTGGTTTAGTCTAGAGCCCTGATGTGGGAACCTAGAGATAAATTCCATCCCAGGTGACTTTCCCTGCCCTTTGCTATTCCATCATGAGGATAAGATTATAACAGAGATCACTCAGTGACAGCAAGACACCCCCACATGCAGATTTCCCCTGTGGGAGCTGCAGAGCTCATCCCTGGTAGCTCAGGCAGTGGATAAACTCTCTTTCTTGGGACCACTGGGAAAACTCTTCTAAGTGACCATTCCATGGTTTCAACTCTCAAACTTCCCAATGGGTAGCAATCAGCAGTCCAGAGATGCCAGTGGGAAAGTGGGTTGCAACTTGCCACCTTCCCACACCCCAGTCCTGGAAGGACTCAGCAGCCAAGCCTGAACAAGCAACCTGCCACAGTTCAGTTCCAGCTGGAGACCTCCTTAACAGCAGGGTTTTGGTTTTTTCCACAGGCTATTTCTGTTTGCCTTTCCTCTCCAGGCAGTGTGTTTAGCACACCCAGCACAGCACCCATCTCCTAGCCCCTTTCCCATCTTCTTTTGGGAGGTAACGATGCTCATGGTACAGCCCATCCCAGGCTCTCCCCATTCCCTCCAGCCTGGCCCTTTAAGTAACTTGACCCTCCGGGCTGCAAATCCCACTCTCGAACTAAAAGGATGGAAAAGCATTTTCCCCCTTCCCCCCGGGTCTTTTTTGCTTTTGAAAGCAACTGTCTCTTCCCCTTTCCCTATTGGTGGGAAGACATGGATCACCAAGGGGCAGAGCAGCTTTCTGAGCATTCCCCTCCCATATCAAGGCAAACTGGCAATTTCCCCACCCCACACTGCTTCTGGCAGCTCTTTTTTCCAGCTTTCCTCCCCTCCCGACGGTCTTTGGCAAAGCTCAGCTGATTTCCAAACCCTCCGTGGCTGCTGGGGGTTGGTACAAAGGTTTAATTATTTGCTTTTCCTTGGGTGTGTAAGGCGGGGATTGGGAGGAGGTAGGGCCCCATGGCCTGACACTGCTAATCTTGCCCACTTTTGTTGTGTAGTCCCTCTCTCGCCCCCCTTCCTTCCCTGTCTCTCGCCCGGCTCCCAGAGCCCGCCATGAGTCCGCAGGCACTTTTGGAATGCTTTTGCCTGCTTTGCTTTTCCTTCGTGAGAACAGCAAAAGGTAAGAGACTTTGGGCTGATTTGGGTCCAGGGGCAGGATGGGGTTTGGATGCCCAGAGAGATGAGATGCTCATCCCAGGGCACGAAGAGCGTCCCTGGCTCCACATAATCCAATATCTCCCCAGACTCCAGCTGGGTAGGCAGGAGTGATTGCCAAACTGCAAATGGCCTGAGCATCTCCTGAGGCAGGGATATTTTGGGGATCCTGGAAGTCCTCCCTGGGGGATGAGGAAAACCAGAGAGCTGGAACTGTTTAAACTGCACACAGTGCAGAACTATAAAAACTCTTCAGTCTGTCTCACTGAGGAAAGCCCCGGGGAATGAGTTGGATTTCCATTGACTCCTGTCTTTTGTTGTTATAACAAAAGCAAACATTTCAGAAGCCCAGCAAGTGCATCAGATTTGCAGGAGAATTTCAAGCCACTTCAGAAAATAGGTTTGACTGGCTTTGTCATGGCAAAGGCAACACCCCACCTCACACACGCTACAATTATATCTGTATACGAACAAGAGAAGGGACTCCAAATAATTCTAGATAAATAAGTTTAAAGCAGGGAATTTGGATCTAAAGCTGCCCCATCAACTTCATTTTGCCTTATCATAAAGTCAGTGATTTAATTAAATTCTCATGGGTAACACATAATATGAAGAATATGGCCTCTCTTCTCCCCTACAAATATTTTTTGTGCCCCAGTTAATGTTGAACAGGCACTGTGAGATATCCCTCTTGTCTGTGGACGTGCTCAGAAAACTTACTTCAGCATTAAAGTGTGTTTCTCTGGCACTCTCTGAAAGTCCTGAAGTGCCCAAGCAGAGCTCCCACTCTGGCCATCACTTCTAAGGCAGAACTGGAAGCCTAAGGTGACACTCCAAGAACACCCAAATATCCAAAAGCAGGCACAGATAATTTCCCATGGAAACCTTTCCATGGGCTATACTTCCACATCAGCATAGAAGTGGCCCTTCTGGAGGCAGTGATGCAGGTCTCAAGCATCCCTACAGGTCTGGGGCCCCTCTAGGATGGAAGTTGCTGGGTGCAGCAAGGGGAGGGATTGAGTTTCGTGCTGGCTTCCCTTCAGCATCCTTCCCTTGCATCTTTCCACAGGGGATTTGCAGCCACTTTCTTTCCAGCCCAGGACACTGTATCAGTACCACTACACCCTGGATGTCCAGATGGACCATGTGGCCCCACCATCCCCTGGGGGAGTCTGGCTGCGGGCTCAGGCGTCGGTCCACGTGCACCGGCTCTGGAGGGACCAAAGCGGGGAAGAGCTGCTCCAGGTGCAGGTGTGCGGGGTGGGAAAGACATCACAGCTGGAATACTCCTCCTGGGAGCACCCCAGGAGGTGGAGCCCTCTTCCCTTTCTAGCCCAAGTCATCTGGAAAACATCCTCTCTGACAAAATCCATTGCCTGCAGGTAAAACACACACCAGCCTTAGTGTGACATGCTTGGTCACTGCTCTCTGCCATCTTCTGCTGTCATAGATCCGTGACCTGGAAGCCCAACACAAGCCAGACGAGGAGAGGAGCCAGGATGGCCCTGGAGGTCCCCCTGCAGAGATTGAACTGAGTCAGGAGGCAAAGGCAGAGCTCCTGAAGCCGGTGTTCATCTCCTGGAACAGTGGGAAGGTTAGCTGGACACCTCCTGGGCTTGTCCGTGCCCTCTGCAAAGCGCTCCTGTGCACATCCCAAATTTTCCCAGCTATGAAGCCCATAGGAACTGTTGCTCCAACTCTGATTTCATATCAGAGCAGAAGGAACTGGACAGAGTGCCCAGTGTAGGACTATCTGGTCTCCCATATGATCCTAGATGGAGCCCCATCCTCCAAAGGGGCTGCAGCATCCCATGTTAAAAGCTCTTCAGTCCTAACCATGGGATACAAGCTCCTTTCTGACCTTCTCCTCTCTAAGGCTTTGGAAAACCAGGATGGGGAGGAAAGGGAAGTTTTGTGAACATGCATCCACAAAGCTCTTGCTATTGAGGGATACAATCCTCCATGAGAAAACTCTTCAGGTGTTTGCAGAGTGTTGCTCAGGTTGCAGGAGAGAGGCCTTTTGGCAGCAGAGAGCCTGCAGGGACCCCAGAGATGTCCCCTCAGCCAGGCACCACCTCTTGCCCCCCAGGTCAAAGCTTTCTACGGGAATGAAGCAGAAAGCATCCTGATCTCCAACTTGAAGCGAGGCATCATCAGTCTGCTCCAGCTGCAGCCCCACGCCGGCACCACGGTGGAGGTACGTGCAGAGCTGGGACCACATCCTACCCAAAAACCGGGGACCATGATGGACCAGGAGAGCTGGCCCTGAAGCACAGCCAGTCCAGGTGCTTCAGCAGAGGAGGCAAAATTCAGGATAAACAGCACGGGCTTTGCTGCTCCAACTGGGCACTGAGCAAGGATGACTGTTGGGAAGGCAGACGACTTAAAATAATCTCTAGACGATTTTCAGGAATGGGCACACTTACAAAATAGTAGTTTTTCCCTGGACAGTAGGAATAGTGGAGAAAAAACTCTGCAAGCATTCCTGCCAAGCAGGATTTGCTTTGCCAGCAGCCAGCAAACAGCTAAGAAATCCCTCCCTCCAGAGCTCAGGGAGGCTGGAGTGACCTGTGAACAACGTGGAGTAATCTCAGAACCCAAAATGCAGGCACAAAGATGCTGCTGCTGGTGTCAGCCTGAAATGCAAAGATGACCTGATGGACTTGGAAGTATCCAGCACCCCCCCAAATTCGGCCCACTTTTCCAGCTTTTTTGTGACTATTTCTATTATTGGGTTGTCCTTTGTGTCTGTCCTCTATACAGGTTGTTTTATTGAGGATGATCAAAGCTGGTCACCCTTACCCACCCTGGTCACTCACATTTGTGTTTCAGGAGGATGCCTCTGGGAGCTGCCAAGTCACCTATGCCGTGTCCAACCACTCCATCACCAAGACCAAAGATCTCCTCAGCTGCACAAAACCAAACTCTGGATTCACCTCTGTAAACAAAGCAAGTTCATTACTCTCTCTGTGGTGGGCTCAGGTCGTGTCAAGTACATCAGGGCCATCCCCCACTTGATGTTTTCTGGACCTCAGACTCGTTGCATTGGGGATTAGGTTGACAGGACCAAAGGCCTCTGTTTGTTTTGTTTAAAGCAGTAGCCCGTGTTCAGCCCTGACATAAATAGATTCAATCCCATAGATCTTCATGCAGTTATAGCTACCATGATCAAAATTGAAGGGTTTTTTAAAATATATAAACTCTACTGAATTCAATATAAAACCAGACATCACCACAGAGAGCCCAGGAGCCCTGGCAGGGGTCTCAACACCGGACAGTAACAGGGTGATATCATCACTAATGCCATTTGCTGCCTAAAACCACCACTTGCACCTAGTCCAGCTCTTCCCCTTCCCCAAGCCCTGCCACGTGTGGGCCCAGCTGCTCCCATAACATCTCCTGGCGCTCCCAAGGCAGAGGTGAAGTCCAGCAAGTGTGTCATTCCTTTCGGAAGGAGGAAATCCAGAGAGCTTCCCCAAGGTCACCACGCAGCACGGCGAGGAAGTTGAGCATTTTTTGGCATCAGCTTGGTGGAAATTGCTGTTGCTTTCCCTTTTGCCTGGGGAGTGTCCTCGCTGATGCTCCCCAGGAACATGCATTGAGGGCCCTTCCTCTTCCCACACCGTGCAGCTGTGTCAGAGCTGACACTGTTGAATGGGCTTGGAGGAAGAGCAATGCTTTGGGAGGCATTTATTCCCAGTCTGCAGTCTCCAGGAACCACCCACACCAGGCAGGAGCATCCCCTGTTTCCTCTGCTGTGGCTGAGCCCAGGTGACACCACTCTGTAATGAAAGTCCATGTGGTGTCACCAGTCTTCCCACATCAGCCACAGGCAAAAGCATCCCTTTGCTGTGGTCCTCTCCTGGTGCTGCCTTCTCCCACATCTGGGAAGAAGCTGGGCTCTTCTAGATTTCCCTTTCCTACATTTTGCAAGCAAAGCAGGTGACTCTGTGGGCCAAAAAGTTCTTTTTCTGCTGATAGAGAGGAGAGAAATCTCCTGAGGAGAGGGCAAGAGAAAAAAGATTGCATTTTTTCCTCCTTGCTTTTCCTTTCTCAAGGTTTTTGGAGTTGAGTGGCAGCCCAGCAGCAGAAGCCAGTATGTGGTGAAAGACAACCTCCTCCAGTCGGCCCTGGCAGAGGAAAGCCATGTGCTGGCTCCAGCCCTGAGGCCCAGCTCCAGCATCAAGATCAGTTCGAGGTGAGTGATGACTCCAGCCGTGAGCCACAGAGGGTGTAAATCACAAAGCTCTTCCCAATGGCTTCTTCTCCCTCCACAGGCAGCAGCTCCAGCTACTGTCTCCTCCAATGCCTGGTCCAGCAGAGGTGTCTGGACAAAGCCTTGAGGATGTGCTGGCTGGCACAGAGGGACGGCACCAGCCCCTGGGCATGGCCAGCCTGCCCTTCAGGAGGGTCTGCACCAACTGCCCGTCGGTCAGTGATGCTACTGACCCCCAAAACTCACCACATGCTCTCCCCCCAACCTGGGCACTTGTAGGATTCGGGGTTAAAACACAGTGGCACTTTTGGAGGGGCAGGATGCGGCCCCAGGAGCACACAGAGCTGGGTTAAACTCATCACAGCTCTGAGGGCAGGAAATATTCCCACTGCAGGTTGGGCTGGAGAGGATAAACAGGGGATTATTTCTACCTCCCCAAATCCTCCAGGCTTTTCACTTAGGAAATCTGGAATTGCAACAACATGATGCTTACAGTTTCTCCTGCTCTTTTCCTGGAACTCACCACAAATTGGGGCGTATGGGCTTCAGCACAAGTCCTCAGCACTGGGGGTGTGAGGCTGCAGTCGATGCCTGCAAGCAGTTGCATGACCCCCTTAGGCACCTTCCCACTCCTACATATTTCCCAAGTATAAACACTATCCCATGATAACGGGGGAAAAGAGGCTAAACCCCACCTAACAAGCCTCACCTTTGCAGCTGAGAGCCCACCTGAAGGCTTTTGACAGATGGGGAGTCAAAACAGACCCCTCGAAGGTGGCGACTGCCTGGCAGTTCCAGAGGTTCATCCGGATGCTGCGCAGTGCCAAGAAGAGAGATGTTCTGGAGCTGCTGAGGAGAGTTCCTGAGGAGACACGGTGAGACTGCCAGGAGCCTTCTTGCCAAAATTCTCTGCGTGTAGAACCCTGGCATGAAGAGTCATTCCTGGCTGAGACATTTGGTGCTGCTCCATACCCCATCCCTGCTCCAGGCAGCCATAGTGCCAATGTACTCTGCTTTTCCTTAATACCCTGCATGGTTTTTGAGGGTCATGCCACTGATGACCTCCCTTTTCTCGCTCCAGCCCCTTCGTCGTGGAGGCAGCAGTGGCTGCACAGTCAACGGCTTCCTTGGCAGCTCTCTCAGAATTCCTGGATTTCAGCAAAGAGGAGCACAAGTCCCTCCTGGAGAAGTTTCTCTATGCAGCAGCTTTCTCTCCCCGGCCTTCGGGAGAGCTTCTCTACCTGGTCTTAGTAAGTACGGACATCTCTTTTCCTCCCTGAGGGTCCTGCATCTGGGATGGATCCACGCCCCATTTCATGCAGGAGGGAACAGCAAGCATGTTTTCCTGAAAAAGGAAAATATGTTTCTGTAGAAATAAATATTCCTGCTTATGGGGTTATTTTATGTATGTTTAATGGGACACTGGTGATGGGAGCTGATGGTCCTCAGAGGAAAAACTTTCAGCAGAGAATGCCTCATGTCAGTACATTACACATAATAAAAGCTTAATTAAAACCACTGTGAAAAATCGGTGGTTTATCCAGTTAAACCGTGCATGGCCTCCTTCAAGGCAGGTAAGAGCAAGTTTTTCCTCACTTTTGTGATGAATGCTCTGAGATAAGAGGTAAAACATACTCCTCCTCTCTATTTTCCCCCATTTTTTTCCCTGCGTAATAATACCCCTTTTCTGATGCCCAGGACAAGCTGGATGGGAAGCAACTGGCCCCTGAGATCTGGGAGACAGGGATAGTTGCCGTGGGCTCTCTGGTGGGCAAGCTGTGCCAGCAGAAGCTGTGTGGGCTGCAGGTGGGTCCTCTGCAAACCCTCATGCTTGGCTTTTTCAGACAGCCCCCAGCTCCAGGCATGCCCAGAATGTCTCCTTCCCCTCACCTCACTCTCCTCCTCTTCTGCCCTCCTGCAAACCCTGAGCAGGAGGTGGAGCGTGGGGTGGAAACCATCCTCAGGGGGCTCAGAAGTGCCGAGGAGGACCCTGAGGTGGTCATTTACCTGCTGGCCCTGGGGAATGCGATGCTCCCTGGAACCATCCCCACCCTCCTGGAGCATGCTGAGGAGGGTCCTGCTGCTGTCACCACCACGGCCATCTCTGCACTGCGGCGATTCCCCGCTCAGAACATCTCCAGCAAGGTAGGAAGCAAAGCTGCCAAGGCTTGGTGTCCTCTTCCCACCCAAAACCAAGCTGTTGGGGTGCTTTTGCACATCACAGCACCGTTTTCATTTCCCTCCTGCATCAGGTGAAACGAGCAATGAGGAGGATCTTCCACGAGAAGAGGAAGAGCTACGAAAAAACATGTCGCCTGGCTGCTGCAGAAATACTCCTGGATAACCACCCCTCACCCATGGATGTCATCAACATCCTGCTGGCCACCCAGGAGATGGAGACAGAGATGGCAAAATTGCTGCTGCTGAAGGTCCAGAACAGCCTGCATGCCCACCACCACCCAGCAAGGTGGGCCTGGAGGGGAAGGTTGTGTTTTCTCCCCCTGCTCTACATCACTGTTTTCCTCCTTCTCCTGTGCACTCCATCTGTAGTTTTTGACCAGAATGCCTTTAAAATGTGCCACCACCACTTCCTGAGGCTGGCATGGGAGCTGCCTGGAAATTCCTGGAGGAAGAAAAGTGATGCAGATGCCACCCAGCCAGCCAGAACCCAGCATCCTTCCTCATCCTGCCCTGTGACAGTGGGACCCAGGCTCGTGTTTTCAGCAGGGTCCTTGGAGGCCAAGGCAGCTCTGGCTGCCAGGGCAGTGCACAGTTTGTATCTTGGTGTATCAGGGTGCTCTGCATTAATCTTCCTATCTGTGCAAAATCAACCAAGCACTCGCATTTTTCAGGGCTAAACAAAAGCTGCACTATAATGTCTGACTGGTTTATCCTAATAAACCAGGGGAGAGGAGAATTCCAGGATAGCCCATGTCTGCTCGTTTCAGTTTTTTGCTCTGGGCAGTCAGCAGCCAAGAGAAACACCTTGGAAATTTATATTTCCTCCTTTGCACAGCCTTGTGTAACGACCACTGACATTTTCTCTTCCTTCCCTCCCAGTGCTGACATACCCTTTCCCTTTTGCTTCCAGGAAGATAATGAAAGACATCATGGGAGTCCCGCAGATAAATAACTACCACTTCTTCTCGAAAGTTGGCACCTCCTCTTCTTTCTCAGGACCTCTGACAGGTGACAGCACAGAGGACATTGATCCCATGGTCCCCTCAGAGGGCCAAAGGAGGGGCTGGCAGGGAAAGGCAGCTCCCAGGAAAGGCTTAAACTCTATAGAATGCCCCAAAATCTCTGTGTGAGGTTTCTGAGCATGTCCCCCAACACCAGCTGGTTACCATCACCTGAGATACAAACATACCCTTCTCTAATACCCTTACAGCAGGAGGGCTAGGCTATGCCACATACTTTTCCCAAATCCTGCTAATTTGAAAGAGGAGCTTCAGCTGGACCTGAAACCAATGGTAAATAGTAGGTGGGAGTTTCTGTGCTCTTCCTAAGTCAAGATATTTCACTCCATTCCTCAGTTCCTTTGGTATTTTTAATAAGCTCTTCAAAAAGGAGAATCCTTATACTGAGATTAAGAAACAAAACAAAACAACAACAAAAAAATCAAACTTTAGAGAGACTGCAACAAGCAACAATTGTTAAATAACTGCTTAATTCTTCATCCCTCAGCTCTCATTTTTGTCCCTCTTCAAATTATCTCAGTCTAGCTTTGTGGGGGTTAGTGAGGGTGGAATAGCCAACACCTGGGAAATAAAAAACAACCTTGCAATGGTGAATCCTTCAAATATTGCAGGAATGGGAGGAGAAGGTGCAAAGTTTTCCCCTGTGGATCATGTAGTTTTATCAGATACAGAATGGCCAACATAGGAGATCCATCCCTACAGTACCAGCCATACCCTCTATTGAGGAGGCTTACAAATTACCAAGGAGCCACCAGCATCCTGCTTTTAGTGACCTCCCAATTCCTGTCATCATTCTGGAGGAGCTTTTCCAAGAAACCACCCTGTCCTGCTGAGCACTGATGTGGTGACACCGGGTGCAGGGGATGCACTCACCATGATCCCAGCTTTGCACCATCCCATCCCCAGCCTCTGTATTTCCACGTCAGCCTTCAGCCCTGCTGCTGCTCTCAGAGCATTTGGGGTTCACCACCGTTCAGTGACTCATGTGCAAAGAGAGATCACAGAATCGTGGAATGGTTTGGGTTAGAAGAGACCTTAAAGCTCATCTAGTCCCAACCCCTCTGTTGTGGGCGGGGACACTTTCCACCAGACCAGGTGTGCCAGGTGCTGTCCAGGGATCCTTCTGGGCATCTTTCTGCCTTTCAGTCACCCAGGACCTGCTTTCCACCTTCGGGCTGGACCTGCTGTTTTTGGAAGGAGGATTCCTGAGGAAGAGCATCTCTGAGTTCTCGCTGCTCAGCCACGGCCAGCGGCTCCGCGCGGCTCAGGTGCACTGCTGGGAGAGGGGTGGGGGTGACAGCACCAATCCTGTGGTGCCACTGCCCTGTCTGTGTCCCCTCCTAACCTTCTTAGCGTGCCTGACCTCACCTCTGCACTCAGTGTGCAGAGATCCCCAGAAATAGTAAATTCATACCCAGATCACCAAAGTGAAGCTGGACACACCTGCTCTGGAGAAAGGAGCCCCCTGCTCCCCCAAAACACAGAGGATTTGACACTGATACCTCATGGTGCTCAGGTTGGATGCCTCATTCAACCCACTCCAGGCTGATCTCCCAATCCAAAGGGTGCCTACCCAAGGGTTGGACAAGCATAGCAACTCAAATAGTGCTGTGGGACACAAAGCACTCTCTAGCTTTGCTCTGTGCCACTCACACATGTCCCACCTCCGTGTTCTAGGTCACCATTGAAGCACAAGGGATGGAGTCGATGATGGGAGAGAACATCTCGGATGGGGAAGAGGAGCCGGAGCTCATGGCCGGGATGTCTGTCACCTTCTTCGATGTTCAGCTGCGGCCGATCATCTTCTTCCAGGGATACACAGACCTAATGGCCAAGGTCCTCTTGAGCAGTGGAGAGCCCACAAGTGTGGTCAAAGGGAACCTCCTGCTGATGGATCATCACCAGGTACAGGATGGGGGGTAAGCAGTGACCTGCCTCCATGCCAAATCCTAGTGAATCCCATAAAGTGAGCCAGTGGTTGTTACTCACCACAGATACAAATCTAAGAGCAAGGTGGCACTGCTGGATGTGTCTGGGTGGTGGTAAACAGCAGGATGGATGGATGGCTTTGCCAAGGGACATAAGTGGCATGGCTGGAGTTCCTCCCTTGCAAACCCTGCTGCAGGTTTGGGATAAATGGTTCCAGCAGCCACAAGTCACTGCCGGTGTGAGCCGCTCATGCAAGGGCAGTGCCCAGTCACAGCAAGCTCTACCTTCTCCATCTCCCAGGTCATTCCTCTGCAGTCTGGTCTACAAGTGACCATCAAACTCCAGGGTGGGCTGGGACTTGACATTTCAGCCGACATGGACGTGGGCATTTGGGAGCAGGAACTGAAAACCAGCATCAACACGAGGTGAGAGGGTGAGGAACTGCCTGGCTGTGGGGATGGGGGTACCTGGAGTCTCAGCACCCAGCACCAGTGTGGGTTTCCACAGTCCCCAGCTCTTCTCCTGGTGGGCCTGGTTACACTTTTCCGTGGCCAGACCTCAAATTAAGGTGTTGATGGAGTTGTTTGGTGCCAGTGTGCGGTGCCCAGCACAGGGCCGCTGTTCAGTGATCAGGCTCATGTGCTTCTATCTCACAGGGGAAGCCTCTCCATGGATTTCCAGGCAGAACTAGACTCCCCTTTCCTCCAAGCCACCCTGAGGAGCCAGACAGAGGTGGAGACCTCAATCCACTTTGACACCACACTGAGGTTTTCCAGCAGCCCCGTGCTCATGTGCCTGCAGTTGAGAGAGGAGCAGGTCCCGTACAGGTAAGTCCCTGGGTACAGTCAGATACTGTAGAAACATCATGATGTGCTTGAGATAAAGGAGGATTTCTTGGGGGGAAGGTGGGAATTAATGGCTGTACACTTATTGAGCAGGGTGGGTCAAAATTGGTAGGAACGGGGGAAGGACAGTGCAAATTCATGACAACATGGGTGGAAGCACCATCCCTAGACCACCAGGAGATGGTGAGTATGCTGGTCTGGAATGAGGTCCACCACCACCACAGCCTCCTGACCATCTTGCTGTTACCTTGTCCCACAGAGAAATCTTCACAGTTTCCAAGTCTGCTGGGAGCCAGAGCAGCACCACTCGAAAAGGCAGGCGTGGCACCATGCCCGGGAGGGAATTTGCCTTGCACCAAACCAACTCCAAGGTCTGCAATCTCCTGCTGACACTGGAAAAGGAATAGGTGAGTCAGAGCACTACAGGACTGGAGAAGTGCTTTGTCTCTGCCACACAGCCCTGTGAACCCAACATGAGCTGCCAAGGGCCCTGCCCAACCCCTCCACAGCCACCTCTGAGTCAGAAAAATGCTGCAATAAGGACACCAGAAGAGGCCACAAGAGGAAATGCTGCAGGACAGCCAGAGGCACCCCTCGCTCGGGGCTGGAGGAGCCAAACCTACCCTCACACCCCAAAGGCTGAGATTTCCCCCACCTGGACTCTTGCCCTTCATGGGGAAGGCCTTGCTGGAAGCCGGGCTGATCCTTGTGAAAAACAGGGCCATGATTTCTCACAGCCCAAGAAACCCTCCCACAAGCCTACACCCCCAAATGCCCCGTTTGCTCCCCATTTATCAAAGCAGTCAGGAGGGAGCACATCTGCAGCCAGCTGGGAGGAAATTCCCAGTGGAGGGAGTGAATGACCCTCTTTTAGCACATGGCTTTTGTGGCTGCCAAATTGTCCAGGAACACGTTAAAAAATATCTCTGGAGGAGGTGTGACATTTTTTAACTTTTTTTTTAGTGCATCCTCAGAGATACTCACCTCAGAATAATTCTCAGGGAGAGAGGCAGAGAAGCAAGACAAAATGTTATATGTTCTTTCTGGCTTAAATGAAGGTGTTTGCATTTATTTGCATGCAAAGGCAACCCAGCTCCCCCCTCACAGCTTGGAGCCATCCTCTTATTCCTGGGGGGAAATTTGCACTCTGTTGCCAGGGATGTGGTTGGTGGCTTCCTGCTCTAGTGTCTGCACCTGAATTTTTCCATGTGTTCTTTCCTTCTAGGATAGGCAGGACTGCAGGAATCATCTGAGGTCATTAAAAACACCTTGAAATTAAAACCCATACGGGCACAAGCATTTTAGTGTTTGCAAAGAGCGGTTTTGAGATTATCAGGACTCCTAGGACGGAGTGAAAACACTGAAAATGGAGAAGTTACAGCTCTAACAGGCACACAGAGCTGGATCTGAAGTCAGCCACACTCAGCTGGGCAACCAAATGATTTCAAAGCTGCCAAGGTGTTTTAAAAGTTCTTCAGCCTTGGGTATTATTATTTTTTTAATGAGGAATTGGTGGTGCAGCCTTTCCTATTGGACAAATAGAGATGTGGCCACCACAGAGGGCAAAAGATCCTGTTTGACTGACATGGTCCCTCCTGGATGTGAGAATCTATCACAGAAGAGTTTGGACCAACATTACAAAGCTGTTACTTCAAGTAAACATCCTTCAGGGTAGACATAATTCAACCCAAACTGTGAAAGTTAAACAGTGGGATCACACCTCCATCCCATCCTCTTCCTCCTCTTTATCAAGACCAGCACATACTAGATGTGCCTTCTGCTGGTGCCTGCAGACTCAAAACCCATCAATCCAGAGGTGACTCCTGCCTGCAGCCTCTCATCTTCATTTTTGATCCAAAGTTTACATATTAATGGAGAAGCCTCTGGCCTCTCTTATCTCCTGAACAGCAGTTCCCCTTCTTTTTTAATCGAGGAAGCAGATGGAGATAAGATTCCCTCCACCCTGCATGGTGGAAGGCAGCGTTCTAGCAACAAAGAGATACAGCAGCTTCCCTTTTCTGCTGATATTTGGGCTCTTTTGGCAACTATTTATGAAAATCACAATTAGCTTCGAGTAAATGTTGTTCTTCTGCTTTGCACTCTGCTCTCAAGATGGATTGTTGTCAGCCACCACCACCCAACACCTCTCCAGCACTGGAGGGAGGCTCATGAAGAAAAAGCAGTATTTCTTCATTCCTCCCTGATAATAATGTGCATTTGAAATATTTTTAACCCTTTTCTGTGTGTTATAAAACGTGCTTTTTAGGGAAAAAGAGAGACATTGAGTATATTGTTTAAATTATGAGCCTGACACTGTAGCACTGAGTCTCCTGGTTTAGGGGGAGGAAAATTGTTTGGGTTTCCATCTGGGGACACTAATTACCAGTGCTTTGGATATGAACTGAAATAAATGCCATGTGCTTTTATATTTTCTCTGTTTGACTCTTATAACTTCTCTGGACACATGGATGGGAAGAAGGGAGAAGCACTTCTGGCAGGAATAGCATGGCCAAAGCTCTCCAGGGACTGTCTAGGTCTGTATTTAAGGTGCCCCAGAGACATGTGGCTAAATGCCCCATCAGGGCTCCAGAACAGGGGTATGAGGGCCAGCTCTGCTCCTAGAACCCCCCAGAGCACCCTTAGAGATGACAACAACCACACAAGAGGGGGTTCCCATGGGGCCAAACCCCTGCCTTACCCTCTCCTGCCAGCTTCTGCAGAGGTATTGGAGGCCATCCAAGACTTTTGCTTAAAATCAGGGCTTCCCCTGCACCAAGGCTCTGCTGATTACAGGGCAGTCTCTTGGAGCTGGCCCCAAGGACACAGAGAGGGGACTTGCCCTCGGGTCTGAACAGGGGGATCCCTGTGTGCCCGTGGGAGGGGGGAGCCCGTGTCACCCTTGTTGCCCTGCTCAGCTTTGCAGCTTTGATAGCAGCTCAGAGTCCCACTGGCTCCCCAGCCTCGCCCTTTCACCAGGACCAGCCTGTGATTTCCCACTCCTCCAGTCTCAGCGCAGGATTTGGGCTGGCTCAGCTGTGTTTTACACCCCCATGAGATGCTATAACCCCTCCTGGTAGGCACTACCCTTGTGACCACCTGCACAGTCCCTATCCAAACTCACTGCTCTCCCAGGTGTTTGGGGGGAACTGTTCAGACCCCAAACCTCTCAGCCTTGGTGTTTGCTCCTCACACAAAGCCGAGAAGCACCCTTCTGCCATTTGGGACCTTTTCAATTTTTTTCTTTCCCCTTTCTTCTTCTCTAAAGGAGATTCAGAGAGGCAGATTTGTCATTCAGCTGAGATTTACCCTAATTTTTGAACTTCTAGTCTTATCCTGCCAGAGGGACCAGGTCCTATAGCTGGGATTGGAGTTGAGAATGTGTTTCCAGATCCCATGGAAATGGTGATGATGTTTCAACAGAGATTCTACCAGTTTGCACTGCTGCTGGAAGCTTTGCTCTCCTGCTGAGTCACCAAACCCCTCAAGTTTTCCAGGCCCCTTCCCGAGATTTTTTTCCTCAGTCCTGGGTGGATGCTCAAACAGCAAAGGCAGTGAAAGAACATGGGCCTTTTAGTGAAGTCACCCATTTCTTTGGTAACGGCTCCAAACCCTCCTAGAAGGGACCTTTCAGACTCAGTCACCCAGCACAGGCAGCACTGTGCCCATGGAGCTGGACTGGAGCCACCTCAATCTAAGTGGGCAGAAAGGGACCTGGACATGTCCCCAAGTGCCAGATCTACACATCTTTTATCCTCCCAGGGATGGTGACTCCACTACTGCCCTGGGCAGCCTATGCCAGTGCCTGACAGCCCTTTCCAGGAAGAAATTTTTCCTCACGTCCAGTCTAAACGTCCCCTGGCTGTTTCCTCTCATGCTGTGGCTTGCTCCCCGGGAGCAGAGCCCGACCCCATCTGACTCCACCATCCTGTCAGGAAGTTGTAGGGGGTAAGAAAACCCCCCTCCCCGAGTCTCCTTTTCTCCAGGATAGCCACCCCCATCTCCCTCAGCCTCCCCAAACGGTCCTTTCATCCACGAGCAGAGGAAAGGGATATACAGGGAGGGGTGGGGTGCCAGGTCTGATTCCTGCTGGAGATCCCCCAGGACAGCCACTACCCAGCTCCGAGGGACCTTGCAAGGGGCGAGAGGCAGAGTAGGGCTCCTGTCGCCTCTCCAGGAGTGGCTTTGCACGTGGAGCTGCAGATCAGCAGTGACCTCCAGTGGCTGCAGCCAAATCTAATGGAGATGTCAGGACAGAGCCCCTCCGCTCCGGCCCCGCAGGGGTGTCCCTCAGTCGGCACGCAGAGTCCTGGGACCTTTGTGATGGGTCAGGGCTGACCCCTGGCAGCCCTTTACCGCCCTGAGCTGGGTTCTGGGTGGCAATGCCATCCTCTCCTGGCCTCCAGGCTTGCCATCACAGGCGATTTCCCATATTTTCTTTTCCCCCGAAAGCCACACCGTTCCCAGGACATCTCGTACAGCCCTCAGGAGAGCACATGGACACCACTCACCAAACACGGCGATAAAACATTATCTGCCTGTCTATCCCAGCTGGCTCCAGAGACAAAACTAACACGAGAAAGTGTGCACAAAAGTGAGGGGAATGTGTGTGAGAGCATAGACCGTGGGCAGGGAGTAGCTCTCCCTGGGAGCCGAGTCTAAAGCACTGGGGCAGAACTCTGATCAGCCACTGCTCCTTCCTCAGCAACTTGTAATAAAAAGATCTTATTTCCTCACTGCTGGGCCCCAGTGACTTGCCGGGCTCCGTGAAAAAATTAAAAGAAAAAGTGGTTTGGAACTCACCAAAGCAGTGGTGTGAATCCCAGCACCGAACTGTGACAACAGCAGACCTCACACACAGCTGCAGTTGCATATCACAAGCCTCTGCTGCAGAACTTGCAGCTGCCCTGGGCCATGCACATCACACCAACAAACCTGCAAGGCTTCCCTGAAAGCCTGGGACGTGCACAGGGACACTTATCTGGGAGTCACAGCACCCTGGAGTCATGCTGGAGCAGACCATGGGTAAGCAGTGGAGCATCCATGGAGCAGCAACCGGCAGGGCTGCTGTTATAACCTGCCCAGCCACCAGGGATGGAGGGAAAAAGCTGTGAAGCTGCAATGGGACACAGCTGGGCAAACCACAGCAGCTGTGCCATGAGGTTATCCCTGCAGGAAAAGCTGGGGGAAAACTCAGGGCTGGGGCTGGTGAGTCAGGCAGGGAGCCTGGGAACTGGCTGAGCCGAGCCAACGAGTCTCCAGGGCTGGGATAAAACCCTCTGGCACATCAGGTCCAAAACCCATGGGAAAAAAGCTGATATTTTCCTAGAAAATTGTTCTACCCACTCCATCTTGGCCAAGAATGCAAGTATTTTCCTTTCTATAGGGAAACAGGTATTAGCAGTGTTTGAAGAGACAGCCAGAGTCCCAATTCTGTGTGGGACAAGGGTACAAAGGGTGACACGGGGATAAACACCTGCTCTGGCCCATCTCATAGAGTCAAAGAATCACAGAATGGTTTGGTTCGAAAGGGACCTTTACGCTCTCCTCGTTCCACCCTCCTGCCATGACCAGGACACCCTCCACCACACCAGCTTCTTTCAAGCCCTGTCCAACCTGGCCCGGCAAGAAACCCACTGACCACAACCACACCAGTTACAACCCTTGAGGTCTTTCCTATCCCTTTTAAAGCCAAAAAGCCTTCTCTGCCCAAATATTTTGGCTGTTGCAGCCTCATAGACGGAAGGTGCAGTGAGCCCCAGGTCTGCTATGTGAAAGGGAAGCATCCAACCACTTGGCAACAGACAGGTGGAAGAGGTTTTCCATGGCAAAAATCAAAGCACTTGAAAATGTGGAGTTTACTATTATGTACTTTGCTCTTGACGTTGACACATGGTTAATTAAGATGTGGTGTGTAGTCACTGTAGCAAGACAGAAAAGCTATACACAACTGAAATTATTACACATTGGATAACTTCTATGATTTGCAATTTGCAATCATTTATAAAAACAAGTGTTTAACAATGAAATTGTTTAACAATGAAATTGTTAAACAAGTGCTGCAAAGATCCAGAGGAATCCAGTGTGGTTGTATTTTAAGGAGTGACGTGGTTGGGTTTGGGTTTAACTTTTTAAGAAGGACTATTAACACAAGGAGAAGGACTGAGTAACTTCCTGCCAAAAGATGTAGAGATCCCACCACCACTGTGAGCACCTGAGGCCTGCAGGAGACATTTAGAAGGGAGTGAAGTAGGAAAGAGGAAAATAAAGCACTGTTTGAGGGATTACAGCAGCATCAATCACCACCACCACATCTATGAAGTTTTCATAGGAAGCACCCATTTTCCATGAGCATGGCTTTACAGCAGCTTCCAAGCTCCCTGAGAGCAAAGCCACGTTGCTGTCGTCTCCTAACCCATCCTTCCCTCCCTGTAAATGCCACCAGCTTGCCTTTGACCCCACGGTCCCCAATAAAGTGGCACTGGGGACCACTCAAGTGTCCCCTCTTGGCCATGCCCTGGAGTTCATTCATAGCTGCCTGCAAAGGGCAGGAAGAAAGGCAGGGAGTGCACATCCAGAGAGAAGTCTGGCTGCTCCCTCCGGCCCCTCCTCTCGCCTGCCTTGTCCTTGAGCGCTCCTTATTCCCAGCTGCTGTCTGGCAGCGTGCTCCTATCATCAGGTGCCGTCCTTCGGGCGGGCTATAAAGGCACGGCGGGATGCAGCGCGTTCCCGGAGGCATCCCTGCTCCTACCATGCTGCAAGCCACCGTCAAGCTGTGCTGCGGCATCGCCCACGATCCCCTCCGCCGTCTGCCCGGTAAGCCCCGCTCACCTCCCCTCCAAGCTCGGGAAAAACAGGCAGGACAGAGGGTCATGTCAAGTCTGCATCGGATGGGTGTCTCCTTAGGAATGTCACATCTATGGTCCCCCTGTGTTGTATCATGGACGGGGCAGTCTTGGGCCCAGGGCAGATGACCTCCCAGCAGGGATGTGGGGCACCCTGGAATCATCCCTGCCCGCTCTGTGCTCACCAAAGCCCACCCACCTCTCCCCTTAGGCTTGAAGACAGCAGCTGTTGCAGCAGTACAGAAGGACATCAGAGGGCTGGTGGCAAGAGGATTCCATCGCCTGCCTTCCAAAATTCCTCATTATCTTCAGAAGCTGATGGGGAAGGACACAGGTAAGCTCAGCCCGGGCCTGTGGGTCCCACCTTTCCTAGCCTTGCTCACAGCCTCCCTGCAGCACATGATGGAGGGAAGTGCACTAAAATGCACCCCCTCCCGCAAAATTGGACCCATGTTTCAGGGGACAAAGTGTCTTCTCACTGCTGGGCTGGTCTCCAGCTCTCTGCTGGCTAAATAGTATTCCCTGTGCTGATGGCAAGCTGGGTTAGTGGGAGAGCCTGAGGCTGTGGGAAGGTAAATAGCATTTGCTCACTGTAGAGGCAGCCAAAGCTTTTAGCAGAGGTCACAGGCACTTAGCCGTGTTTTGCTGCACTCCTGCTGTGTCCCTAGTTCCACCACTTACCTAAAGACTTGAAAATTGGCAAATTTATCTGCCTTTTTCGAAGTGTGGCTCGGTCCAAAGGCTGCCTGTGTGATGTTAGTAATACCCAAGCAACGTGCAATTTGTACCACAGTGTTACTGGGAATTGCTTTGGAAAACAATTTCAAAGAGCTTTCCAAGCAGTCAGCACAGACACAGCAGATGGAAGCCAGCAAGGTTTCCTGGACCAAGCCATCCCTCTGCTCAGCAGGGGACCAGTTGCATGGGAAGATCCAAGATTTCGGGTCAGCAAGCCTCTCCTGCTCCAGCTCCTTTGTACTTCTGTACCCGCAGCCATGTCCACAGGCAAAGCAGGGCTGGGGGGGTGTTTCACATTGCTCTGCCTTCCTCCTGCAGCTCCCTGTCCCAGGCCCACCAGCGGTGTCAGCCCCAGCCAGTCCTCCAGTGTGGACCTCTCCTGCATCCGCCAGGGAGAAAGGGCCCTGCAGCGAGCACTGAGCATCCTGCAGCAGCACACCAGCTGGCAGGCAGAGCCCGTGCTGGTAAACCCTCACCCCCTCTGTCCTTGGCTGCTTTGTGCCAGAAAAGCTCTCAAGGGGAGAAATTAGTCCAGGGAGGGAGGATCTGCTTCGCAGAATCACAGAATGATTTGGGTTGCAAGGCACCTTAAAGACCATCCAGTTCCAAGCCATGGGCAGGGACACCTTCCACTAGACCAGGTTGCTCCAAGCCCTGTCCAACCTGGCCTTGGACACTTCCAGGGCTGTAGTGGCATGGTTCAGATGTGCCAGTTTTGGGGGTGACTGGGGCTCTCTGCTCCCCCAGGACACCAGTGCCGCCGTGTCCAGCGCTGCCCTCCCCGGGCTCGGCAGGGTGTTTCGGGCAGAGGTGGTCCTGGCTGTGCCGGTGGCACAGCTGCACCAGGAGCTGTTTGAGAGGATGGAGCAGATGCCCCAGTGGAACCCAAACCTCAGTCAGGTGAAGGTAAGGTGGGGCAAGATGCCACCATGGGCAGATGGTCAAAAAATTTCCATTACCAGGGCTGCCAGCACCCAAAAAAACCCATATTTATGGGCAGTTTTAATATTGCTGGAGGATTAAAGCTAATTCCATGCTTCTGCAAGAGCAGGATATCACCCCAGGGAGAGGAAATGCGCTTTGCTGGCATGGCATTGTAAATGTGTCATTTCCAAGCTCTCTATTCCTCATGGTGCCAGTTCACAGAGGTTTTTCCATATCAGGGAATCTGACATTATTCAGACTCTAATGAGGAATCAGACAGCTCAAAAGAGGCAAAATCAAATATATTCACGCTGTAGGAAGCTTGTGTTGTCCTGGGCTTCTTTCTCAGCTCCCAAATTACAGCATATCCCTAAGGAAGCTGCCAGCCCCAGAAAGTCTCCCCTTACTCACCCAGGGTGGCTCAGATGCTCCCCAGCCTCTGCTTATTTATTGCTACCACTTACCTGTGCCTTCTGGAAAAGAAACAGCATCAAGAAGCTCCCATCACAGATTAAATAATAAAAAAAACCAAAAGCTGCAAAATCATCCCTTTTCCCTCTTGGAGACTGGAATTTAATTACTACCAGGTGCCAGCCCCAAAAACCTCTTTTCGCTGCTGCTTCTGCCCACGCCGCTGTCCGCACGGTGGCTTAGGGGGAGGAGTAAGGGGGTGTCAGAAATGTCCCCGGAGGGGCAGCCACAGGGAGCCTAATCCTAATTCCTGGCATGTTCCTTGCTCCGGCAGGTGCTGCGGCGCGTCGGGACGGACACGCTGGTGACACACGAAGTCACCACTCCCAGCCCGGGCAACCTGGTGGGGCAGCGGGACTTGGTCAGCGTGCGGCACCGCGGGAGGAGGGGCGCGGCCATCTACCTGGTGGGCACTGCCACCCGCGCCGAGCCGCTGCCCCCGCAGGAAGGGTGCATCAGGTAAGGTAACTCCCCCTTTCCCCCCAAAAGGACCGTCACGGGGTATCGTGTCTCTGCAGAGGGGGGGGCCACCAGTGCAGCCCTGAACGTGGGCACCGGTCACAGCAAGGGAGGCACGCCGAGGGCTGCAGCCCCGCTGGGTTTGCTCTGGGACCTCCTTGCCCCCGTGTGCCCCCCGGGGGGGACCCTCACTGCCTGCTCCCCTGCAGGGCCGAGTCCCGGCTCAGCTGCATCGTCCTGCAGCCGCTGGCGGGGGACCCCGGCCGGACCCGCCTCACCTGGCTCCTGAGCATGGACCTGAAGGCAAGTGCCACCTGGGCAGGGACAGTGAGGGGTGCACACCCCACTGTGCAAAGCCCCCTCCTCCCTTTGGCCCGGCAGGACCAACCTTGGGCGTGTTTTCTCTCCCCCAGGGCTGGATCCCCGCAGCCGTGCTTCACCGGGTCCTGCCACAATCCCAAGCCGACTTCATCGAGCACCTCCACCGGCACCTCTCTGCCACCGCGGGCCCCTGAGCTGCGGGGAGACGGGCTCTGCCCGGGGAGGAGCGAAGGGGCCAGAGCTGGAGACTCATTCCTGGCTCAAAGCAAGGCTGGATGGGGCTCAGAGCAACCTGGTCTAGCAGAAGGGAGTTGGAACAAGACGATCTTTAAGGTCCCTTCCAACCCAAACCATTCCATGATTCTCCACTCATTGCCAGTGATGGAGTGAGACAGTGCACCCACCAAGCAACTCTGGGCACAGAGAACACATTCTCTTCTCCCAGCACCGTGCTTCTGCTTCAAGGATGGAGTGGAGCATCCAAAAGATGGGAAAACCAAGGCTGCACTAAGCCTTGCACAAGGAGTTACCTAAAAACCCCGGCAAAAGCAGCTGTGTTCATCAGCATACAGGAGCAGCTTTTTGGCCTGAACTAGCAACACATCAATATTTATTTTTGCAATGGCCAAACCACCTACTTATGTGTGTGTATACGCATACACATAGAGGTTTTTCCCCTGCTCAAAACAGCAATGTGAAATTCTGGCTGACAAAGAGGAGTGGCTGGGTTGAAATAACGTAAAATAAACCCATTTCAACAACCGTTTGTATTTCCCCCTTCACACACCCACCCCACAAAAAAAATTAGCAGCAAGAGATTTTTATGTGGATTTCTTTTTCTTTTTTTACATTATGTTAGAGTTCCAAAAAGAAAAAAAAAAACAACAAAATTAATAAATATTAAAAGTTAAAAAGCTCTGAATCTCATATGTACAAAATTTTATACATCGTGGTAACACTGGACAAGGGTTGTATCACCGGAATGACATGATGGCTCTGCCAGGCCCAGGAGGATGAAGGAGACTAGGGGACTAGAGTCATCCTCTCCTCCTGGAGACAGGATCAAATCCCTGTGTAGCCAGAGCTACCCAAGCTCAGCCTGCCCTCAGCTGGAATAAATTCCCCATCCCTGGCAGTGTCCAAGGCCACCAAGGACAGGGCTCAGAGCAACCTGGTCTAGTGGAAGGTGTCCCTGCCCATGGCAGGGGTTGGAACAAGATGAGCTTTAAGGTCCCTTCCAACCCCAACCATTCCAGGATTCCATGAAGTACCCAGTGCTGGGTGCCAGCCCTGCAGCATCACCGCCCCAGAGCAGTGGGGGGGGGGGGGATTATCACACCCTGCTTTGAATCTCCCCCACCTCTCAGCTTGAGGTCAGGGTTAGCACCTGCAGCGCAGCTCCCCTTGCCTAAATTCCCCCCAGGGGACCCCAGCTGTGGGGTGTGAGGGGCCTCTGCTCCGAGGTACAACAAGGAACCACTGCAAATATTCCTAATGCAATAAAGCACCAATGCCCAGGCCAGCACTGAAGAGGGGGGAAGGCTGGGGGTGCAGCTGGGAATTTGGGAGGAAGAACATCACAGCCCATTTTTGAGGGGGAAGGGGGTCTTTCTCTTATGCTCCTTGGACAGTAAACGAAGCATTATCTTTGGCACAATAAATAAATGCTGGCACTCCCGTGGAGGGCAGTGGAGAGGCTGGCAAGGGGCCCGGCGATCTGAGGGATGAATCCCGCCCTGGCACACCCACAGCACCTCGTGGGTCCTGTGGGTGCCAATACCTGCACGACTTGGATCTGGGCACCCCCCAGGCACCCTCCACGTGCCCGCTCCCACAAGGTGTGCCAGTTGCTTGGCTCAGACAGATGGGGGGCTTTTTTCCTATCTTTTGGGATGCCCACCTAATGCCAAAGGGCAGCACCTGGGAGCAGGGGACCTGCAGCCTCAGGTGCTTTGAGAGTAGTTGGATAAATGTGTGTCCAGCCGTGACTTGGCAGCGATCTGGGGGCAGTAGGGTGAACAAGCCACCCTCTTCACATCTCTTCAGCCCTTTTTATGCTGCTGGGAAGCTCTGGGGGAGTGTGGCAGTGTCCAGTTAGGAATACAGAGAGGTCTCCATCCATTTCAGCCAAAGCAGGTATCTCAACCCCTCCCCTGCTGCAATCCAAGCCAGACCAGAAAAGTCACCCCAGGCCACTTTACCAGCAAGCCCCAGACACCCGAAGAGCTTACAGACACTGTCCCTAGGGATGCCCCATCCTGCTCCTTGGACACCAGGGAAGCAGCACCAACAGGGCCAGCGGATGCACCCACACCACACACGTGCTGCCAAGACATTCCCCACTTTGCAATTCCAAACTGGTCCGTCTGCCAAGCCTTGCCTTCCTCAGACTCCATCTCTGTGCCCAAATCCTCCTCCCTAGGGCAGCACTCACCACCATGGATACCCTCCTTCCCCTGCCACTGCACCTGGGGGTGCCCAACGCCCTCAGCTGGGAGGCTGCACAGCCGTAAACACCAAAACCAGGGCAGCCCCCTCGGGGACACCATTCTGGGGAGGTTTTAAGGACTGTAACTCCTCCAGGCAGACCCTGTGCCCAGAGCTGGCCTGACACCTGGCAAGGTGTGCCCGGCCCGAGGTTCCTAAAGTGCTGTGCATACCTTTACTACTTGGCACTATAATTTTTAATGGCATTAATCACCCCCCTTTCACTCCTTCCCACGCTACAAAAGATGCAGATGAATCTTCCTCCCTCCTCGCTTTCTAACTGCCCCTAAAATCCACTTCCTGTTTCCCAGTCACCTCCACTTCCCTCCAGCAGGTGTTGATGCCCTACAGGCACTGGGTACAAGGTGCAGGGATGAGGCTGGTTGTCCTGGGGAGGCTGGGCATCGCTATCAGCTCAAGGCTGGCCAAGGGCAGTATTGGCTAAAAAAGTCACTCCCAAGTGACAGGCATTTTTTACATCAATTTTTGGTCTTTGACCTGGTTCTTATTGCTCACATTGGAATTTCCTGGACCATTTCCTGCCTCCAGGACAGAAGCTGCTCTATGTTTTTCACGCTCCACCTTCTCCCAGACAGGTTTCGAAAACTCTCTACCCCAACAGGGACAGCCCAGAGCAGCATTTTGGGATTTTCCCACAATTCCCCCTCCCCTCACCACCTCCCTCCAGTTCCTTGCCCCCTCAGATTCCCAGTATCCTCCCACTGCTACCCCCACAAGCTCTGAGGCTGAGCTGCCAAGGACCCTCCTCTCCTGTGTTGCTGCTTGGAGTAGGGAAAGGAAAAAGCAATATTAAAGCCACTCTCTTCCCAAATCTTTTTAGCACCTTGGGAGGAAGCAGCCTGTCTACCCACAGTGTTTTTTTGTTCCTTTTCACCTTTTTTTTCCATGGCGTTGTCAGAAAAACGTCACGGTCGGGAGGGCAAGGGGGATCACAAGAAATAAGTGGTTTTCCTGGGAATTTCTGGGTGTGGAGCCAGGTCATTTCCAAACCTGGCAGTGTCACCCACGAAAACCATCGCTAGAAGTGGGGGGAGAGAGGAAAAAGAAGGGGGAAAAGGGAGGGAAGGAGAGAGAAAGGCTTCCCCTGCCCCACGGTGAGGTGGCCCCAAGTGGGTTACCTGGCTGCCTGGCCCCTGCTCGGCTCACTCGGGGCCGGCAGCCCCCCAGGGAAAGCACCACTGCTGGATATCCCAGGTGTTGGAGTGGGGTCCCCACCCGGTGTGGGGTATGGGGAGAGTGCCGGAGCGGGGCTGGGAGCGGTGATTCCCGAGGGAGCGCTGGGGCCGGTGACGGGGGTTGAGCTGGTGGTGGAGGAGGCTTTCTTGCCACAGGATTCACAGCAGAGTTTGTTGTATCCAGGGATGGAGCAGTAGCGAGCCAGAACCTCCATCTGGCAGAAGATGGACTTGTCCCCGAGGCAAGGCTCCCCTGGAGAGGGACAGCAGCATCAGCACAAGATAAATCCCACTCTTGCACCTTTGCAACAGCCCCAAAGGCAACCAGGTGCCCTTTCAGGGCGCTGTCTATCCACAAAGCAATGGAGGAAGAGGGACTCGGAAAATGAAGCCAAAGCACTCAAGGATTCTGTGCACGGAGAAAAAAAGAGAGAACAAGGGATGCTCCAAACCAGCATCCTACATCGGAGCGGGATGCGACTCACCCCAGTTAGGAAAGACTCTTGCTCAGAGCAAGGGACAAAAGCTAGAAAAAGCAAAAAAAATTCCAAGATAAAGAGAGCATAAAATCTGGGAGGCAAAAGGAATGCAACACAGAAACTGCAAGAGCCTGGGCTCCACGAGATGGCAACCGAGTTGCAGGCTTTGGAGCAGAGGCACCAGGGATGCAGCAGCTGAGGGTAAAACTCCCCAAAAGCACTGCTGGATGTGTCCCCTCTGCCAGCTGCCTGCATTTCCCACAGGGAGGTGGAGATGGCCTCGGGAGGGTTATCACAGGAAGCATTGCCCTCACACAAGCAGGGACACTTACTAGAGGAGATCTTGCTAACGGGGTTTTTGGCTCCATCCTGGGGCACCCGCTGGCCTTTGGTGGGGCTGTGGTCACCGGCGTCGGCACTGGTGGTGATGCCAGAGAGCTTCCCTGCTGAGAGAGCACCACGATGCCCAGAAACCACAGGAGGCTGAGGGCACTCAAAATAGCTCGGGAGGGTGTTTTGGTGAGGGATTTGCTTTGTTTTAAGGGATTTCCTTAGCGATGAAGTCCTTTAGGGAACACCCAGTTGGCCCAGCACCTCAGCCACCCAAAAACCGCCCAGGGTGCCCATCTCCATTGTACACTCAGCTCATCACACCCTCAAACTGCCAGAAAACCCAAAACCAGACAATATCAGGGTAAAGAACTAAAAAGGGAAATATTCTGGCTGGTGTTTAACTCGTTCTCTGCCAGCAGCTGATGTTCAACCTGACCTTCTCTTCTGGCACCTCCTGAAGCCACAATGGGCTGGAGACACGCGTGAAGGTTGAGCCCCACCAGCGTGTGCCCCATCCCAGTGCCACCTCCAGCTCCCTCCCCCTCCTCTCACCTGGGCAGAGGGCCATGTGGCAGCCCTGGATGGCCTCTGGTTTGTCTCCCTCACAGCGCCCGCCGCTCTCGCTGCCCTTGCACACCACCTGCCGCTGCTGGACACCCTCCCCGCAGGTCGCTGAGCACTGCACCCAGACAGACAGACAGACAGACAGACAGTGATGGGGTGGGGGGAGCCCCCACACCCCGACAGCACCCGGGGGGGCATCTGAAGTATGTGCAGATACGACTGCTCGGGTGGATATTGCTTTCTAATATGGGGTTTCCCTCCCTGTCTCCAGCAAACCCCCACGCTCTCCACTGGGGTGCACAGGGGTGTTCTCCTCTCTCTAATTTGGAGTGAACCAGTGAAAAACATCGCTGGCTCTTGTGCCCTTATCTCCATCTGGAAGTGTCCAAGGCCAGGACAGACAGGGCTTGGAGCAACCTGCTCTAATAGAAGGTGTCCCTGCCCACAGCAGGGGGGTTGGACTAGATAACCTTTAAAGCTCTTTTTCAACCCAAATCATTCTAGGATTCTACTCCACGACCCCTATCAGCACCTATCCTTCACATTCGGCTCCCATATCCCTTCTCCCAGGCACTTCCCACCACCTCCATCTTCCCCCCCCAGCCCGGCTCACCTCGGACCAGGCTCCCGTCCTCCACTGGGCGGGGCAGGGCAGGCGGGCGCAGGGCCGGCGGGTCTCGGGGCGCTGCCCGGGGCAGTACTTGGTGTGCAGGGTGCGGTTGGTGCCGTCCTGCAGGCGCTGCACGCACTGCACCGCCCGCGCCTGCACCCCCAGCTTCCCGCAGGAGCGGCTGCAGGCACCCCACTCCTCGGCCACCCAGCTGCCAGGGCGGGAAGACGGACAGGGAGGAGGCGTCAGAGACTCTCAGGCTTGTGCTGGGAATGCTCCCAGTGCAGCCCCGAAGAGAGATGCGAGCACCTCGGGCCGGGTGGGGAGCACTTACATGGGCTGGGAGCACTCCTGGAGGTTACAGCGCCGCCGGATTGGCTTCGGCTTCTTGCCGTTGTCACAGAAGTTTCTGTGCACCATCCGGTTGTCGCTTTTCCGACGGCAGCCGTACTTGGTGTACTGGATGCCTGGGGGGTGAGAGAGTGTGGGCAGCGAGGTGACGGGTGTGGGGTTCACACTGGGTCCCCACCAGGTCCCTCTCCTGCATTCTGTGGGAACGAGGGCTCTCAGATGTCACTGCTGGGGTGTGACCCAAGCGGTGCATCACCCAGGCTTGCAGAGGATGCTCACGTGGATGCTGGACACCCCCCCCAGACTCCTGGGGTCACTCAAGCTGCCACGGGGTGCAGGTGTCCCTGTTCATTGGGGGGGGTTGGACTAGATGACATTTAAAGGGTCCATCCAACCCAAAACATACTGTAATTCTATAACATCTTGCCCGTTATTTGAGGATCAGATCCCACTGGCCATGTGGAAGCAAGGCTTTCATCAGCAAACCCCACAACACCAGTGTATGGGTACACGTGCTTCTTCCCAGAGGGAAAAACCCAGCAATAATCCTGCCAGGAGCTCCTGTGTGCTACCTGCTGCACCTCTCAGCACTTCCTGGTGTGTCCACACCTATGTCCATGCAAACTTGAGGAGCCAGTCATCTGCAAGATCACTATTCCTTGGCTCAAATCCAGTTAAAAACAACCAAGGAATTCAAAAATCATAGCAGGCCCACGGATAGACAGGCAAAGGTTATGCACACACGATCATGTAAGCCTGCTTCTGTAAGAAATCTGGCTAAAATGCTCACCTAAACTGCTCTGCAATAATTTTTCCAAGCCAGAGACACCCCGAAGGGCTCCCGCACCCTCTAACGTGCCCAAGCATCCCTCCCAAGCACGCACTGCAGGCTGTTATGAAAGGGAAAGCTACCTCCTCCACACGCCTTGGAGCACTGGGACCAGCTCTTGAGGGCCCACTCGTAGGAATCCATCTCCTCAAGCAGGACGTTGTTGTTTCCGATCATGGGCAGCAGGTCCTCGTGGATGATGTACCTGTACATCAGGCTACTCCTCGCCTCCTCCTCCTGAGGGATGACCTGCAGGCACAGAGGGGGAGAGGGGGAAGGAGTGATGCCATGGGAGAGGAAAGGGAAGAGGAGGCCATCAAAGGATGAAATAAGTCATCAATGACCATGTGGGATGGTGGCCTATGCCCAGAACCAGGGGGGGATACAGGGGTGGATGGGAGCGCAGACCTGCTCTTCCCCAGGTGCCCAGGGAACTCAATCCCTAACTCTCCCAAATGCCACATAACTAAAATGGGACATGGAGTCGTAATCAATTGCTGCACAGAGCCAAATGCAGTTGGACTCAAAGGCAAGTGCCCAAGCAATGCCTCCTTATGCCATTCTTGCATGCAGCCCATTATCCCTCGCTTTTGGCTGGCTCATCCCCTGAATTTAATGATGTGCCCTATACCCTTTCTTTACCAAAGTCTTTTCACCACTTCCCACCTCAGACCACTTGCCCTCTCTGTGACAGTCACCCCCAACCCCCCCAGAATACATCCAGTCAGCCTTACCAAAACACTGATGGCCTCATGCAGGGGACCACTGGTTTTCAGGCTCTCCTTGTCCTGTTCAACAGTGTATTCCCACTCCAAGCCCATCTCAATGAACACTTGGCTTTTGGCTTCTTTGCCCTTGGCATTCAGGATGAAGTTACCCGTGGCTTGATTCTTAACAGCTGGAGGAGAAAGGAGGTATTTCAACATCATTCCCTCTGGTCGCTGCCTTTGGAGGACTGGGATGACCCAAATAAGACCCTTTTGGGCAGGAATTATCAGAACAGGGATGAAAAAGAGTGAAGGCAGAAGCGGACTACAGCGTGCTCACCAATGCTGTGGGACGCCGGCTCCACCTCTTCTATCTGAAGGTGCCTCGCTCCAGCTGGAATCTCAAACATCTTCAAAACACCTACTGAAAGGGAGGGAGGAAGGTTGGAGGAAGAGAAAGAGCAGGTGTGTTCCAACTGGACACACGTGTGAATCCAGTTGGGCCTGACAGAATCTGCTCCCAGACTCTCACCTGACTGCTTGGGGGTCTTGGCCAGTGTGCCCTTCACCGTCCGGCAGTGGGAATTGTCCCCCCCACAGACCCCACACTTGTCATCCTGCTTCAGGGAGCCAACCTCCTTGTCACAGCCCACGTGCTGTCACCCATGGGGAAGAGAGAACAAGCCCAGGGTTACATCGCTGCAGCCCAGTCCATTACCCTGCTGCCCCCTTGGCTGCCCACAGGCTTAAAACACGTGTCCCCAAGGGGCTATGGGTCAAGGAGGTGCACAAGCTCAGGCCTGGAGAGGGGAAGGACAGGGAGAACCCCACAGCAGCTCCTCACCACGCACTCGCCCCGGACACAGACGCTATAGGGGTCTCGGTAGCTGCACCGGGTCCCGTCATGAACGACCTGGTTCATGAACACCACGTCCCCCGTGCCCTCAGACTGGCAGATCAGCTCACACTTCTGAGCATCTGTGGCAAAAGAAAGAGGAAAGGGGAAAAAAAGAGGGGGGGAAAAAAAGAGGGTTTGTGGAAATACTTTAGGGTGAGTGAAGAATGAAACCCATCTCAGCTCATATCCCTGAGCACACCAGATTTCCAAAGCCCGGGTTATTCACGTGCCTGATCTCCCACGGCCATTTGCTGCTCAAGAACCTGCATTTTTGCCCAGCACACTCAGGAAATTAGGAGAAGGATGGGACGCACTACGTGACACTGCAATGCAAGATGGTCCTGGCTCCCAGCCCAGCCTGGAGCAGACATTCCCCACTGCAGCTCCAGGAGCAAACAGGTAGCTCTGCCATGGAGACAGGCTGGGAGAGCTGGGGATATTCAGCTTGGAGAAAGGAATGTTCCAGGGAGACCTTAGAGCTCCTCCCAGTATCTAAAGAGGTTCCAAGAGAGCTGGAGAGGGATTTGGGACAAAGGAGAAGGGCCTGGAAGGACAGGACAAGGGGGAATGGTTTCAAACTGACAGAGGGCAGGGTTAGATGGGATATTGGGAAGAAATTCTTCCCTTAGAGGGTGGGGAGGCCCTGGCACAGGTTGCCTGGAGAAGCTGTGGCTGCTCCATCTCAGGTTGGACGGGGCTTTGAGCAACCCGGGACAGGTGTTCCTGCCCATAGCAGGGGGTGGAACAAGGTGATCTTTTAGGTCACTTCCAACCCAAACTGTTCTAGGATTCTACGATTTTAAAGACCTGCCTTGTTGCACAATAGTCTCCAGCTCAGCCTCTTCCCACCACCCACCACCAGTGCAGCTGGCACAGCCTCCATCCCCTGGTGATGGCCACAGCCTCCTCTGGGAAGGGAGGCAGTTTGCTTACAGCTCCTTTGCCAGGACCCGCTGCCACTCACCATCGTGGTGCTCGTAGGGAAGCCAGGAATGTTTGCTGTTCTGGTGGGTGTAGTAGGAGTTGCGCTTGGAGCACTGTTGGGCACGGAAATCCTGGTAGGGCCCCGGGCACTCCTCGGCATTGCACACCTGGTACTCATAGGTGGCACCCGGGCAGTGGCGCCCACCGTATGCCGGGCTGGAAAATAAATGCAGCGGGTTATAAGAGCGCCAGAGAGGGGAGGATGTTCAAACCCAACACAGCTCAGCACCTAAACGCAGGCACAGCTCACACAGGAACAGATGTCCCCATCCCTGCCAACACAGGGGAGAGCCAGGAACCTCTGGTTCTCGGCCACTTCCAGTTTTACCCCTGCTAAAAGGGAGGGAGGAGAGATCCAGACGTACGGCGGGTTGTCGCAGCTCCGGCTGCGGGATCGCACACCTCCCCCACAGGTCCTGGAGCACGAGCCGAACTTGGACCAGGAGCTCCAGCTGCCGTCCTGGCTGTATGGCTGCTCCGACGTCTTCCAGATGCAGTGGCCCTTGAAGCACCACTGGAAGGGAGGAGAAGGAGGGGTGAGCTCCCCACCTGCCTCTTCCAAAGTGCTCAGTGAAGAGCCCTCCCGCACCCACAGTACTACAGGAACGGTGCAGCACAGGAGGAAGGCGCTCTTCAGTGTGCCCTCGGGCACATCCCCCTCCAGAGGAAGCAGGACCAGCCCCTACCTTGCCCGGAGAGCACTCAGTCCCATCCAAGGGTGGTCCCTTCTTGGTCTTGCAGAAGTAGGGGTTGTCCGGGTGGCTGCACCAGAGCTGCTTGCAGGGGTCGAAGGTGCGGAACTGGGGAGCACAGAGGGGCTGGGCTGGGACAGCAGCAGCAAGTCCCAGAAGGCTCGTGGCACCCAGCCCGGCTGGGGGTCCCGGGGAGGGGGCACGGCGCGGCTGTACGACCCGTACTCACCGCCGTGCACGTCTTGTAGCCCACGCCGAAGTCGAAGCGGCACTGCTCGTCCATGGAGTAGTTGATGCCTGGCAGCTCGGGTAATGTGGGCCACTGGTGCTCAAAGGGGTCATCCAGGAGGCAGTCGTAGGAACTGCAGAGACACAAGGCAGAGTCAGAGGTGGAGCATTTCCCTCCATCACCCCCATCCCTCAGCTCCAGGCCTCTCTCCAAATTCAGGTTTTGATACGTCTGAATTATCACAGAATTCTAGAATGGTTTGGTTTGGAAGGGACCTTAAAGCTCATCTCATTCCAACCACCTGCCATGGGCAGGGACACCTTCCACTAGATCAGGTTGATTCAAGCCACAAAGTGGTCTTGGACACTTCCAGAGATGGGGCAGCCACAGTTCCACTGGGCAATCTCTGCCAGGGCCTCACCATCCTCACAGGGAAGAACTTCTTCCTAATCTCTAATCCAACCCTACCCTGTATCAGTGGGAAGCCATTCCCCCTTGTCCTGTCCCTCCAGACCCTTGTCCAAAGTCCCTCTCCAGCTCTCTTGGAGCCCCTTTAGGCCCTGGAAGGGGCTCTCAGGTCTCCCTGGAGCCTTCTATTCTCCAGGTGAACACCCCTAGCTCTCCCAGTCTGTCTCCATAGCAGGGGTGCTCCAGCCCTCAGAGAACCTTTGGCTACAAAACACCACCAGTCGTGCCACCTAAAGGGAGAACCTCCCCTCCCAGTTCGGATTGACTCACTGGATGTAGCGGTTGAGCTCCTGTTTGCTGCAGCGGGACCAGTGGTAGCGGTGGAAGGCGGCCTGGACCAGCGGGGCCATGATGCTCCCCATGCTGGTCTCGTCGGCGCAGCGGTTGCCCTGCCCATCGTGCTCCATGCCTAACCTGGTGGGAAAAGGGATTTCTGCACCAGTAGAAAGCATGCTGTGCAAAGCGAGGGGCTCCCACCACGCTTGTCCCGCTGCCGAACAGGCACAGCCCACTCTGCCCCCGTGACTTACACGTGTCCGGTCTCATGGGCCACCACAAACGCCGAGGAGAATCCGTCCTCGTGGTTGAGGGTGCAGCTGCGGAGAGGGTGGCACATCCCCGTCACTGGAGCGTAGCCTGGGGCAAAGAGAGAAGGGAAGGAGACAGGAGGAGAGGAGAGAGAAAACCTTTGAGAGAGGAGGGGGAAAAATGACAAATTAAGAAAAAAAAGAAAAAAAAAAGGTAACAAAAACACAACCTGGTTTCACTGCGGCAGGAGGAGATAACGAAGAGGAAGCCGCTGAAGAGGAGGAGCTGCCCACGGCTCGGAGGGCAGGCCAAGGACTCGCTCACCAGTGTGATCACCCCCGTGCCAAAAGCCAGCTAAGGTTGCTCTGAGGCTCACAGGCACCTCTCTGCCCTCGTGCCAACACCCCTGGGCAGGCAGGAGGGCACCCTGTGCGTGCTTTATTGGGTGCAGGTCACCACCGCCTCCCAGCCCAGCAACGGCACCCCCCGCGCCGTTCTTCAGTTAGAACAAATAAAGAAGAAAGGAAGGGAGAGAACGAAAGGCACGAGGTGTCCCCCAGAGAGCCCTGCCAGAACCACAGCCCTGCTCCCCTGGAGTGTATCCACACGTGCCCCCAGAACCACACACCGCCCCGGCCCCCAGCCCTCGATCAAGTGCAGTGCAGTGGGGCAGCTGTGGGCAGGGAAACCTTCCCCCGCCCAGTCAGCATCACATCACCTCCAGTTTGGTCACTTTTCCTTTTTTTTTTCTCACGTTATTTCTGCCCAATTCAATCAACTCATTGGCACGCTCCAGAATTTACTTTCCGAATAGTTTTTATATAAATATGTGTTGGGGTTTTTTTATGACCGACCCTTTTTGGCATCAAGGGGGTTAGCGAAGGAAGGACTTACAGGTCCAAGAGGTAAAAGCAGGGCAGGACCATGCTGGATAACTGTGCCCTGGGGATAGGCATGCTGCAAGAGGAGAGCTCTGTGAGCCAAGAGGGAGGAGCTGAGCTGCAGCAGGACAAGGGGTGGTGATGAGCTGAGGGTGGATGCACACCTGTCCTCCTGTACTCACCCCAGCCAAACCATGGGATCCACAGAGCCCATCATCCTTGTGGGATACTTGCTCCACACCAAGGCACACCCATAACTGGGTTTAACCACACAGTAATAAATCAAATCCTGGATAAATAATTTTAAAATATTCCCCCCCCCAACAAAACCTTCCACAAGAAAAAGTAAAGATGTGGGAAGTTTTCTGTATAAGGGAAGAGCAAATATATTTTGTCTAGGATGAAAACAGGATAAATTCCTAACCAAAGAGGCTCTGAACAGGAGATGGGATAAAGGAATATGAAAGGGTGGATGTTCAGTAATGCAGATACTGGTCTTTCATAATGAAGATCCCAGTAGGAACTGGAAGAAGTATAAAGGGTTCTCTACAGAAGAATGACAGTGAGAAGTAACTACCTGGAAAATTTTAAATTGGGAAAGACTGGATTAGCCTGCAAATGGTTCCCAGACATACACACTCAGGAGAAGCAGCATGTCATGGAATCATGAAATGGTTTGGGTTGGAAGGGACCTTAAAGATCATCCAGTTCCAACAATTATCTGCCCTCACCAGCACAGTAAGACACCAGCCAGTCTCCTTCTTCTTCCACATGCACTTAATTCTTCTTTATGGACATTTCCTACCTGTTTTCAGCCTCTCTGACATTCTGCATGGACCACCAGCCTGCTCTAAGGTGACGAGCCAACCGTGGGTGATGACAGGGTAATAAACATACAAGAATCCCTCAGCCTGGGCCAGAAATCCCTCCGTGCCACATGCTGTGGAAGGTCACAGAAACTCTTCGGGTATTGACAAGACTTCTGCAGCAGTAATTAATAATTTACAACCCATCTATCCACTGCCTTTCTCTCCGAAGGGCAGGAGTTTATCTGCAACCCACACGCGAGGGCAACAAGGTTCAACTGGCCCTTCCCCTTCCAGTTTTACAAACAAGTACTGGAGGTGCCACGGTCTGGTCCTTCATGCCACACAGCCCCGAGCTCATCAGGGGTGAGAGGAATCCGAAAGGACTTCATTTTGAGGAGAAGAGGCAAGAGTAAGAGAAGTGTTATGACTCCAGCGGCCCAACCAGAGGGTAGTTCCCAGTGGATGAGGAGCACCTTGTGCCATGCAACACAGCCAGGCAAGGACACGGCAGCCACAGGGACTTCTGCAGAAAGCAAATGTCCATCCCAGGGATGTGTGACAAGCAGGAAGCCAGATCCGTGGGGAAACGGGGAAGGAGGTGGAACAAGCACCCCTAGAGCAGGGCTACTCCACTGTTCCCCCAACTCCTTCCCACCAAGGCGGAGCCCAGGGAGTCTTCTCCCCCTTCTGTTGACATGCCAAAAAAGGTCCTCTCACACTTTGGATACAGTCACTTTGCCAGGAAGGGTCTAGAAAAATGAAACAAAACCTGGTATTTTGCCCATGCTGCCACACGACCCCAGACAAGGAGCCCAGGGCAAGTCAATGGCTCGGTGAGGAGGCTGTTGGCACAACCCAGGCTCTGCTCTTTGGTGGCCAACAACATATTCAAGAGGGTTTCCAGCTGGATATCTCCTGTGGTTCATCTCCTGCTGTGGAGAGATCCTTTTCAGGCAGGTAATCCAGGTGAGAGCAGGTCTTCTCCGTCTCTCCTCCCTCCCTTGCACAACAGGAGCACTCCTGCTACAAATCAGCGTGAGGTCACCACCATGTTCATGGCATCAAATGGAACCTCCTGGTGGAAATTCAGACCTGGCCACCAGCGTGGGAAGAAGGAGATGGCAATTTGGAGGCAGTGGGCTCAGAACTGGGAGAAGTCACCTCTCATGATGACACCAAAGCACCTGCTTTTCTAACGGAGCCCTGAAACACCAGGAGCTTTTCCTGCAAATTTTTTTGCCAAGGTCTTTAACTTCCCAGACCACATCAGCACAGCCTCTGCACCAAGAGGGTGAGAGACCTCTGCAGTGAAACCTCCTCTTTGGCCCAGGATTCATTCAATGCTCTCACATTCAAGAAACCAATCCATATAAAACCAGGTTTTAAAGGTCCTCCAGAGGACAGAAAGGATTGACTGTCCCAAAGAAGCGTCCTGTGATATTTTATCTTTTTTATCTTATTTTTATATTTTTTAAGGCATTTTGGGAAAAGAGGAGGACTGGTACGAGAAATCAAAGAAGAGTAGAATTAATAAAGATATTATTTCACCCATTCAGGTTGGAGCTCTGAATTTGTTCCATCTTTCTTCTACTTCACATGGGGGGAGGAGGAAAAAAAGCAAATACCAATTTTTATAACCTTTTTCTGGACCTTGCTGGCCAAGACTGTGTTTTTGCAAGAAATCCTCTCCCCTGGCTGGCCTTCCCCCAGCAAACTGCACATACCTGATCGAGATAAGTACAGTACCTTGCATACCTGCGGGACCAAAATCTTGCCTGGTGAGGAAGACGGCGTGGTCGTGGTGCTCGGCGTGCTCCGGGTCCGAGCGCTGCTGCGAGTGAGCCCAGCGACACACCTGCTCCAGGCTCCGGGACGGGTTCCCTCGCTCTATCAGGCTGACCGACTGGGAAAAGAATTAAAAACTCAGCGGTGGGAAGCAAAGGAAGACACACTGCCCTTCCCCCCCCTCCAGGCCCTTAGTTGGAAGCCACGGGAGGTTTTGTCCTGCAAAGTTCCAGGTGGGAGACGAGAAGCTGCAGGAGGACTTGGGTGTGAACGGTGGTGAGCTGAGAGCTTGCCTGGATTCAAACATCTGCTCATTATTTTCCTACATCGTCCCCTGAACCGCGGCATAACTGGGCAGAACAGCTGCCTCCAGCATTGGCTTTCGGGAGGATAAATCATCCTAAAGGGAGCCCGGCGGGTCTCATCCCTCCGGTTATTGGCCATAACACCACAGCTCCAAATCCCTTCCCCGCCATAAATCATCCTCCAGCACAGAGCACAAACACCACTGGGAGGAAGCCAGACAGATTATTGGCTTTCTCAGGTGGAGATGATGTTCCTGGTCCCACAGAAACCTCCAAAAATGGGCCACCCTCCATCCTCGTCCCTGTTCCTCAGAACCAGCCCCAGATCTCTTGGATTTCTGCCAGCTGAGCATACTTCTATAACAAGGAGGGTTTTTTCCAAGACCTAAAGGGTCTTATTTGTGGATCACACACACATACACACAGACATATCACCATGTTGAATCGTTAACACCTTTGTAGAACACTTCGGGTGGGATAGGGGCTCGCCCCAAAAATAGGAAAATCACACTGTTGTAAAGAAAATCTTCCGGCTGCCATGCTTGAACAAGCCTTAAAAAATAAATCCAACCTGAGAAACGTTCCCAGGAAACCTTCCCATGCTTTTTCTGTCCACGCCCAAGCCACTTGAGAGCTGGACAGCCAGCAAAGCCTTTCAGGGAGCCGAGTCAAGGCTGGGACACAGGAGATCCCAGCCTCATCTTCTCACTAATATCCAGCTTCTACCAATTTGGGAAGCCACCTTTTCCTCATTATCTATCCTTGAGCTCCTGAGGAAGCCTCTCGTATTTTTCCCACATCCCAGAGGACGCAGATAACGGCAGATCACAGCCACCCGCCATCTCCCCAGGGACCTCTCCTTGGCTATGGGACTCTCCAGACCTTCAGACTCCAAAATCCAGGCCAAGAAGGGTTCAAATTTATCCCTGCTCAGCACAGTTGTCATTTGGGCTTCAGCAGCTTACCTGAACAGCCACATTTTTCCAAGCCAGGGCTTACCTAAGCACTAAATATTACAGCAGGTCCTGCCCAGCACGCCCGAGCACCGTATTTACCTGCCGGTACCCCACCATGATCATCCTGACCAGCACGATGTTGATGTGAACACCCAGGGACTCATCATGATAAATTTCATCCACCTGAACAAAGGAGGGAAATACAACAGGGAAGAAATTACGATCATCCCCCAGCCCTCAAGCCCCTCATGTCCTCCACACTCCCACGTTCAGCGCCCGACCCTGCTTTCCAAGACCAGATGCAAAGATCTCACCTCCCTCCCCCCACCCCCAGTGTGGTCTTTTTTTCCCCTGTGTAAAAACAATAAAGTCAAAAGGCCAAGCTGGAATAAGGAGTTTTTCCCAGCATAGGTGGCTCAGATGGTCAATGGCATCACCCACGCCATCGAGAGAGTGGAGGAGGGCTGAGTTTCCTCCACCACATCTCGCAATGAGCCGTTGCCCCTTGGGAATACAAATTCCTCAGAGGGCTGGAAATGCTTCAGCCTCCAGCATCCTTGCGTGGTGGGAAGGAAAAATGCCTTTTTGAGGAGAAGTAAACGATTGTATCAAAGCAAGGGCATTACTCAGTCACATCAGTGAGTCAAACCTGACCTACCGCTTCAGAAATCCCAGGAGAAGACAACACAATGAGAAGAACAGGGAGGGCTTGTGAGTCAATGAGATTTCTATCACCCCGGGCTATTAAAAATGACTTTGCAAAGGAAACAACGAGCTATAACCTTTTCCTTCTGCGTTTCCAGGATGAATAAACAAATTCTACTCCTAAGCGCTACCAAGGGAAGAAGAATCCAGGTGGGAAAGACCTCTGGGAGCCAAGTGTGGTGACAGCCACTGAGAGAGGCACAGAGCGGGCAGCCACAAACTCATGTGAGATCCTGCACCACCTTCACCCACCTGCAAAGCACGTGTGAAAATGCAGCCGGGGAAAAAAAAAATGATTTTTGAGAATGGGACCCCCATTTTCCCCAAAAAAATCTCCAAAATGAACAGTTCCACAAATGGAGGTTCACTGCAGAAGTTGAGGAAACCATATTAAAACCATTTTTAATACTGACTGGAATTCACATTTAAATGAAAATATATTTTTTCAGCTTTGCCCAAGAGGGAAATAATTTGCCTCAGCTCTACCATAGCTTTCCAGACTCAACGAAGATTATAAAATCAGATTTATGAAGCTTTTCTGGTTTTTTCCCCACTCCCTTGGGGTTTTTTAAGCTCATATCAAGGGATGGGTGACAACTACCCTTTTACTGCTGCCCAAATCCAAGTCAGCCATTTCCCCGTGTGTTTTACAAGCCCCCCAATTTACAGCCTGTAGATGTATTTGAAACACCCACTCAGGCCATTTTTAAACCCGAAACCCTGGCATTAATGTTTTCCCGTGATAACTAACACTCCTGGGAGGTGGCTCCAAGATATGCAGAGAGGTAATGCAGATCCTGAGCCTTGAATGCAGCAAAATTGATTAAAAAAAAAGTAAAATCAATCAACAAACTGCCAGTCCACCCCCATTAACTCATCCCTTTGGATGCACAGGCTGCGAGAGCCACAGGGTTATTTATTTATCAGTGTGGAAAGACAATGCTGGTCAACTCATTCTCAGGTCACCCCTGCTTCCCGTGGTTGGGATGCTCCTGCACCTTTCAAAGGTATTTTGTAAAAATAATGAGCATATGATGGATTCCTTCTGATCCTAACTCTGTTTTTCGGGGATGTGCACAGATGGGAGGAAGGCTGTGCAGCGTTGCAGCTGCAAACATTACTCAGAGCTACAGTCCCACCAAAGCATTAAGGATCCATTCCAGCAAGGAGTTTCAAATCCCCAGGGATGTGAGGCTCAGTCCTGGGTTTTGGGCTCTGGGAGGCTTTGGCAGCCCAGAGAAAACCTCATCAGATCTGAGAAGTCCCACGTCAGGAGTTTGACCTGTTACAAAAATATTCCATCCTTAATGTGTGTCCTGTGAAAGTCAACATAAAAGTATGGGAAAGGGGGGAGAGAGGGAGAAATGAAAACTATGCTTGGAGAGATGGAGAGCTGGACCTGGGGGGTGGTTCAGGTAACAAGGAGGGAAACACAACCACTTCCTTCACTTTCCCAAACCTTTACACGTTTTCCTTCACCACCAGCACTTGTCAGGAGCTGGAGCTTCAAAGTGGCAGAAGGCAGGGTTAGATGGGATACTAGGAAGAAATTCTTGGCTGTGAGAGTGGTGGGGCCCTGGCTCAGGTTGCCCAGAGAAGCTGTGGCTGCCCCATCCCTGGAAGTGTCCAAGGCCAGGTTGGACAGGGCTTGGAGCAACCTGGGCTAGTGGGAGGTGTCCCTGCCCATGGTAGTGGGATTGACTAGATGATCTTTAAGGTCCCTTCCAACCCAAACCATTCCATGATTTTAGGATTCTCTGGTCATCTACAAGCACTCTGCTGCTTGGTCCCTGCTCCCAAGGACCCCTCAATCCATCAGGATGAACCACATTCCTGCCTTAGGGACTTCTCTGCCAGCCGGAGCTCCCGGCCAAGTCACTTGCTGTGACTGGGAGCATCCAGCAGTACAGACCTCTCCTTTCCCAGCTGCACAGGATATTTCGGCAAAATGCTCAGCAGATCCCACAGGCAGCAGGAAAGGATTCTCCATGACAACCTGGTGCAGCCCCAGCTGGCAAGAGGAGGGCTGCACCCAGGGCAGGAAGGAGCACAGGCAGAGCTGCTGTCAGAGCAGGAGCTTTGATCCATGGTACACAGCCCCCTCCTCTCAGCGATGGCTCTTCCCACCTGCAGTACCTACAAACAGTCCCCAGGTCTGAGAAGAGCTCCCTGGCCTAAACCATGGGCCCTCAGGCAACATTAGATGCCCTGGGAGAAAAAAAAAATTGGGAAACAGCAATATTTTTCAGAAGCATTAACAAATAGACTCACCACCACCCTCCCAGCACTGCACATCCTTCCTCAGCCTCACTGGAGGAGCAGCAGGACCACGAGCAGCTTAGAAACAGCTCATTAAAGGACTAAGACCAAGAAGCTGTATTATTCCAAGATGGGATTTAATCCCCTAAATCTTCCTTATAAAGCAGTGCTAAATCCCACTCTCCTCCAGCCTCTGAACTGAAGGGTTAACCCTAAACCCCAGGCCCTGTTTAGTCTAGGGTTTAGGAAGGGATCTCTACCCAACTGATACTAGCTCAGCAGCAACCTTTAGGGTTAACTCAGAAAGCACATGTGGAACCAGACTGCCCCAGGCTATGGACTTCCCTTAACAGCCAGATAGAAATAAATGATTGAGGGCAAAAAAAGTCATATCCAAAGGGTTTGGTGCTTGCTGCTGTGGGGACTGTGACCCAGGTTTTGGGGTTGCTTGGGATGGGGGAATCAGCAGGGCCAGCATCCCCTCAAGTGCTCCAGTGCCTCTGGAAGGAGAACAGGGCATCATCTCCTCTCTCCCCATCAGCCCACCCTGGAGCTGGTTCAGGCCAGCAGAGGGGATGGAAACGGGCCCAGAGAGCAGTTTGCAGGCTTGGCACAATTCCTCCTGCCCTCTGCAGATGCCATTATGCAAGTCAGTGTCTTCAGAGAAACCCCTTCCCCCCCCTCCCCCAAAAAATACCTGCTCAGCAAAGGGCTCTGGTAAAGGGACCCACATCCCTGAAGACATGGGACAAAGATCTTCTTATCCCTCTTGCCCATGTGGTTACATGCCCAGCCTGTTTCACACTGACACCAGGCAAGAAAGGCTCTCCTATTTCATTTAAAAGGGAATTTTTCCACCTATAAACAGCCCAGCCCTTCAGGCTTGCTGTGAATTAAAGGCAAACCAGCCCACAGGACCTCCCCCATCGCTGCCACACCAAGGGGACAATACTAATATTTTACAATGAAAGAAACATTAAACCCCTGCGTATCCTCTCCAAAATGCTCAGTGAACTCACCCTGTGCGTGGGACCCCCCTCAGACCCTCGCTGGTGCTGGGAGCAGGGAATGCTGCCTACCTAAATCCCTGCAAGCCTCTGGCCAGCCCCAAGCCTGCAGCCCCAGACGCGAGATCCCGACAGCAAACCGCACTGGCAACGAGGTCTAGACCTCGCTGTTCTTCAGGGAAGGAAAACAAAGGGAGAGACACGAGAAGAATTTGCCAAACCAGCAGAACAGCTGACATTTCAAAACCCCGGATCGCTTACTCAGAACAGCCAAGTCATCTTTAAACTCCTTTCTTTTATTCCCTTCCTCAGTTTTCATGCTGGTGGATTCATCCTGAGCCTCTTTTCTGGGGCTGAGGGATTAGGAATGGAGGGAAAAGTCCCCCTGACCACATTTTCGGGCTTGCATGCCCTGCAGGGATGCACAAAGCTGTTGTCAGCACCTCTGCAAGGGCTGAGCAGAGGAACAGAGGAACAAGAGGGAAGGGGAGGTTTGCTCTGCAGGGCACAACTATAGATTTTATGAGAGCTCTCTCGCCAACAAGGTATGTTGTCCCAAAATCATAGCAACAAGCACATAAGCCTATAGAGAGGGTGGAAAAAAGTGCATGGACACACAAGAGACATCAAAAGTATTTTTGTTATTATCAGTTAGCAAGGAGGGGACTCACGAACCCCTCTCTCCCACAAAACCCCATACACCAGAAGGACCAGAATTTTCCCATTATTTTAGATTGGTTTCCTGAAACAGCAGCAAGCTCCTGCCTTGAGCAATCCACGTTCCAGCTTGGCTTTTCAGATAAGCCCAGGTTAAAATTAAAGCTGAAGGTTTAATTTTTTTCCCCCAACCCTCTCCTCATGGGGTCTCAGTAGCACTCTTTGTTGCTCAGCCCTTAGGAACAATAATTTCAGCTGGAGTGAGGCAAGTCCCAGCCTGGAGAGGGCTCTGACTCATGGGGTTTCCCTAGTAACCTGAAACAATGGGAAAACACCAAGTACCTTTGCATCCTTAACCAAATCATGGGCAATATCCGACAAAAACCCAGCAGACTGGCTAAGACCAGGCCCAGGCTTAACACAGTCCAGAGCTTGGCTTCTCCCACTGGAGTGGGGCCATCCCCAGACTTGAGAGGATCAGGGACAAGTGCTGGGAAGTCCAGAGAAGAAAACCAAGGAGGCCAACTGAAGGACCAGAGGCTGCAAAGCAGAACAGGACACAAAGTATCTCCTCTCCTCTCCCCCTTAAGTGGTGCTGGATCCCCTCCCGGTTCCCAGCCCTCACTCCCAGCAGGCACTGTGGCTGGGAGATGCTAATTTTCCTTCAGTAACACCCCAATCCCAGCCACAGGCAGCAAGCAGGAGATGGGAATGGCTTCTCCAAGCCACCACAACACCAAATATTCATTCCAATAGCCCAGTGACAGGGAGAGGGACAAGGTTTGGTCAGGTGGACACCAGGAGGCTCAGCTTGGAGCACCAAGACGTGCTCAGCAAGCAACAGCAAAGGAAGCGTTTCCCACTCCCGCCAACCTGACCCCAAATTCCTGTGTGGCATCCGAGCTAAGAAGGGAAGGGCAGGCTGGGAATGCAGGCTGGGAGCTCGCAGAGAAGGCAGCCTGCCTGCAGGGAAGCTCTTAGGTGCACAAAAGGAGCAGTCATCCTCCTGTCAGCTTCCCGGGATGGACACAGCGCCCTTGAATGAAAAGCATCCACATTTCTGGCAGCGCAATAAGGGCTGTGAGGGATTTTGTTAAAAAAAAAAAAAAAAAAAAAGAGAAGAGTTCTCCGTGACAAATCATTTATCACCGAGCTTCAGCTGACACCGAGTTCCTAATAAAGGAGTTTGTGCCTTGGGAAGAGCCGCAGGACCCCACCTACAGCAGGGCTGGGAAGGGGTGCATGTCCCACCACCCCCTTGGCACCCAATGGAGACCCCAGAAAGAGCCAGGAAAGTTTATTATCAACTTCCAAGCTCGCTGCCCCCTTTCCTTGGGATATATCTTGATAGGAAAACTCCTAAACGAGAAAACTTTCCCAACAACTCCCCGACTTACTCCAGCCCAGCTCATGAAGTCCTTTCCTTGTTAGAGGGCTGGCCAAGTCCCTTCTCCTTCCCCTTGCCTCCAACTAATGGGATTAGTGTTCAGCTGTGTGGTCCCAGCACGCTCCTCCCCACCACCTTCCTCTCTCCCTCCCTCTGCCATCCAGGCCAGAAAGCAGGACGCTCTTTTTTCTGCTGAATCGGGTATTTTAAGGAATCTGAGCCGGTAAGGAAATGAGGCACGCCGAGGGAAGAGGAGGCGGACGGAGGTCACGGCAAAGCTGGGAAGAAAACGCACTAAAAACCAGAAAGAAAGAAGGGGAGGGAAGAATATACAGAAGGAAATAACACTTGAGGGAAGTATTTGTTGCATGTATTATCCCTGAGGGGGATTTTCCCCCCTTTTATTGATGCTGCTTTTTTCCCCCCTTTATTTAATTCATTAAAGTCTCCAGCGCCGCCTGTAATTGAATAGGCAGCATCCTCCCTTCTCCCAGCACAGCATCCCGTGCATTCACTCCCTGAAAAGTCCTGCCTGCAGGGAAGGAACCATGAAATGTGCTTGAAAACCAACCTTTTGATTAGAGCTGACAATCCCCGGGCGCTCAAACCATCCCTCCCACCCCCCACAAGATGGGAAAGGAAAAACGACATCATCTCCGACCCCCATAACGTGGGAAGAGCCTGAGGTCAGAGCAGGGAACCCTGTGGCTTCCCACTTGCAGGACGATTTAGTAAAGAAACGGGAGAAACACTCAGAGAGGGAATTTGAGTGATGCCAAGAGCAGCCGACCACAGGCATCGTGACAATGTGCCGGAGAATAAAACACTGCAACGAAGGCATTTGCTTCTTAAAGCCAACATTTTCTCTGTTTTGGAGCAGCCACATCACTCATCCTCCACCCCATCGCCCTCTAATCCCGCAAATCCTTACCCCCATGTTGATAACTTCCCCTTCATTGCCGAAAATATGGCAGAAATAATGCCCAAACCAACAACCAACCACCCAAAAACCAAAAGCACCTTCATAACTTCATTATTTCTGAACTGGTTGAGCCTTTTCAACATTTTCCATCACCACGTAAAAGAGTACTTAAAGAAAAAAAAAATTAATAGAGGTGAGGATGAAGCATGGAAAACAAAACAAAACTGGGAGAGAGAAAGAGATCCTCGAACATGTACCCTCTTTGCTGACATTCAGGTGCTGGCACAACAAACCTCCTGTAAGATGGCTACCTGAATAAATATTGATCCCTCCACATCTCTCAGGACTCAGGGAATATGGATGTTTCTATCTTAGAAAGGAAAGAAAAGGGATGTAGGGAACCAGCACAGGCTTCCCCATCCCTCCGAGTGAGGAGAGCTGCAGAAGCTGTAAAGTAGAGCTGCTCTAAACTCCTTTTCAAACAAACCTAACTAACCCTCAGGGTGCACAAGTTTTCCAAGGAGCATGAAAAAGCTTCTGAAAAGTTATAAAAATATTTCCTCTGCCAACAAATATTACTCAAAATAAATTATCAACATTATCATTACAGAATAAATAATAAAATACCATAATTTCTAACTAAATAAGGAACAACCATTCTCCTTTCTATCATTTCACAGAATCATAGAATCTGTGAAGGGTTGGAAGGGACCTCTGAGGTCATCAACTCCAACCCTTGATTCACTACTGCTGTGGTTCCCAGACCATGGCACTAAGTGCCTTGGTCTTAAACACCTCCAGGGATGGAGAATCTACCACTTCCCTAGGCAGTCCATTCCAATGGCTGATCACCCTCTCTGGAAAGAATTTCTTCCTAATATCCAACCTAAACCTCCCCTGGCACAGCTTGAGACCGAGCCCTCTTGTCTTACTGATCTCTGCCTGGGAGAAGAGACCAACCCCCCCCGGCTCCCCCTTCCTGTCAGAGAGTTGCAGAGAGTGAGGAGGTCTCCCCTGAGCCTCTTCTTCTCCAGGCTGAGCCCCCCCAGCTCCCTCAGCCTCTCCTCATAGGACTTGTGCTCCAGTCCCTTCCCCAGCCTTGTTGCCCTTCTCTGGACCTGCTCCAGCCTCTCCATGTCCTTCCTGAGCTGAGGGGCCACAACTGGGCACAGCACTCCAGGGGTGGCCTCCCCAGTGTCCAGCACAGAGGCAGAATCCCCTCCCTGCTCCTGCTGCCACACTGTTCCTGATCCAGGCCAGGATCCATTGGCCCTCCTGGCCACCTGGGCACACTCTGGCTCCTGTTCAGCTTCCTGTCCATCCTCACTCCCATCTCCCTTCCTGCCTGGCTGCTCTCCAGACACTCTGGCCCAGCCTGGAGCTGCCGGGGGTTGTTGTGGCCAAAGGGCAGGACCCGGTACTTGGCCTGGTTGAACCTCATCCCCTTGGAACCTGCCCAACTCTCCAGCCTGTCCAGGTCCCTCTGCAGAGCCCTCCTGCCTTCCAGCTGATCAACACTCCCTCCGGCTTGGTGTCATCCCCAAATTTGGTAATGGTGGACTCAATCCCCTCATCCAAATCATCAATAAAGATATTAAACAGGACTGAGCCCAACACTGATCCCTGGGGGACACCAGTAGTGACAGGATCCCAACTGGATGCAGCTCCATCCCCACCACTCTCTGGGCCCAGCCCTCCAGCCAGTTCCTGACCCAGCACAGAGTGCCCCTGACCAAGCCATGGGCTGCAGCTTTTCCAGGGGTGTGCTGTGGGACACGGTGTCCAAGGCTTTGCTGAAGTCCAGACAGACACATCCACAGCCTTCCCCTCATCCACCAGGTGAGTCAGCTGGTCATAAAAGGAGATCAGGTTGGTCAGACAGGACTTGCCCTTCCTAAACCCGTGCTGGTTGGATCTGATCCCTTGTCCATCCTGTAGGTATTGTGTGATTGCACTTAGGATGATCTGCCCCATAACCTCGCCAGGCAAGGCGAGAGATCTTGATGATGAGAAGGAGACAGTCTCAGTCAGGAGAAAGAGAAAATGCTCTTGGTCTTGGATGACAGAGAGCAACAGCAGCAATACACCAGACCCTGCCGTTGGCCAGGGGAACATCACACCAAAGGACTCTGCTTTCCATCCCTCCAATTCCCACAGCTGTTAAATGCCAGAGCCAGTCGCGTGAAGGCACAGCCCTTCCTGCAGCACTCCTTCCCCTCCCAAACCCGTTTTTTCCAAGGGTGACAGATTTGCAGCATCAGAAGAGCACTAAGCCAAGGGAAGGATGGGAGTCACATCTTCCCCCCAAAAGCCAAGCCTTACTATGTTCATGAGGGTGAGGACGTAGTTCTGGACGTGCTCCTTGCCATGGAAGCGCACGACTGAGTCATCCACAGCCAGCAGGACCTCGATGTTGTAGTCATCCTTCCTGGCATGGCGCCTCTTGCGCTCCGTGTCCCCCAGGCGCTCCGTCAGCAGCTCCAGGGAGTTGGGGAGGTCACCCACCTGCACCCCGGGCACTGGGCAAGGCATGGAGGGCAGAAAAACAAACAACCACTGAGGTGACCTGGCACCATGGCGGCACTCCACAGAAGCAAAGCAGGGAAAACAGACAGGATATTTAATTCCAAACAGGATATTTAACTCTGACTGGCTGCTCTGTGCTGCGGAAATGGCTCTGAATTGGAAGTACCAGGGCTAAAATGCACGTTAGTGGTTGGACTCTGATCCTAAAGGTCTTTTCCCACCTAAATGGTTCTACAATGTGTTTGAACCCACAGTTCACAGAATCATCATAGAATCACAGAATGGTTTGAGTTGGAAGGGACCTTAAAGCTCAAGTTCCGTGGGCAGGGGCACCTTCTACTAGATCAGGTTTGCTCCAAGCCCCATCCAATCTGGCCTTGAACTCTTCTAGGAACGGGGCAGCCACAGCTTCTCTGGGCAACAACTTCCAGTGCCCCACCACCCTCATTACACAACATGGAGGTGATTAAACCAAGGCTGGCCTCCAAGCCCAGCACTGTCACTCCTTTCTTCTCACTAACAACCCAGCTGGCAGCTAAAACCAGTACAAGCCAGGGGGCACGTGGAAGAAGAAATCCTCTCCCCACTTATTATCAGTTGCTGGGACAGAGCAGATTCCAGCAGCCCCTACCTTCAGGGTGGAGGTCGTGGCGCGGCGCGGCGCTGTCCTGCCGGATGGCTGACCGGCGATACACCACGTGGGCCCTCCCGTGCTCCTCCATCTCCTGCTGCCCCCTCTCCAGGGGCTCGATGAAGAACTCGTTGCTGTCTGTCCGAATCAAGCCAGCCTGGACTCCATAAGGAAATCAAGGGGAAAAAAAAAAGGTGTGGTTTTGTATAGGCACAGGTGGACATATACACTCAACACATGCATTAAAGATTGATGCAGAACACACATAATTATGAAGACCACCCCAAATAAACCTGTCTTGTTGCTGCTCTGTGACACTGGGATGGCTCCATTACCATGCTAATCTATGACAACCACGCTAATCTCTTGCAGATGGGAAAAAAAAAATTAAAAAGAAGGGAAAAACTAACCAACCAGAAAAACAAACAAACAAACAAAACCAACCAAACAAAACAACAACAACAAAAAACAACCTGGCTGCAACTCAAGTTATGTCTTTAAATGGCAGTGAAACTCTGTTCTTCTCATCAGCAGTAAGTTCTGCTGAACCCTGAACTCAAGGGATAACAGGATACACACACACCACTTCACCTCCCTGCACCCTCCCCATCCCATTCCCATAGCGCCAGTGAGGAAATCTGCCATTTCACCAACCCTAAGAGCTGCAACAAGAAGAAGAAAAAAGAAACTGTGCTCTCTCTGCCCCACAAAGCGTTTGGGAATTAGCGCAGGGGAATCCCGTCGGAGGAGAAGCTGGAAAGCATTACAACTCCACCTCCCAAACACAGGGAAGATCAATGAGAGGGCAAACATCCCTGGAAATGTTGTCCTGGCTACCGACCTGCTCCTAATTAACACCAAGCTCCCATCAAATCCCTCTTACATCAGCCTGAGCACTCAAACCCCGCAGCGCCGGCCGGCTCAGACCTCAGGCAAGGAAAAGGATCACTGGGATTTGGCTTCCATCCCGTGGGCAGCACCCCTCCCAGCCCAGAATTTTTCACAGTTCCCTCCACCACGCATGCGTGCGTTCCTTCCTCCGGCACTGCCCGCTCTTGAATTGCTGCCTGGAAAGCACCAGCAGAACATATGGATCTGTTCTTACAGCAAAGCCTTCGGCAGCTCCTACCTACTGGAGTCCTCATCAGGGTTTTGATTGGAACGGTTTTCATCAAATCAAATCAAATAAAAATAAAATGTATACAGAGATGTATACTGGACAGAGTTTGGGGCTCTTCCAAGCCCACCTGGATCTTCAGATCCCCTTTCCATTCACGTACTGTTGGATTCATCATGGCATCGGCCAATCTGGCTCCCTTAGACTTCATCAAATTTCCTGCTCCACTTGGGTTTTAGTGGCTGCTTAACTCCTCTGCAAAGCAGATTTTTGCCTGGTTTTGTTTTACACCTCCTTCCCAAGGAATGTAAGTACTTGCCTGACACACATATGTCAGATCCTTCCCACAGGAGACGTTCAGGTCAACCCAGGGCAGGACCTCTCCAGCCGGGGATTGTCCCACTACCCTCAGCCAAGGAGATCAAGACCATAGCCAGGTTCAGTCAAGAATCTGGAGCACCAGGCAAGGTGGTGGCGATGAGGCAGAGAACAAGCCAGGGACTGAACCCACAAGTCAGGTTCAGTGATAGCTGAAGAGTCCATGATGATGGGGCAGGTCACAGAATCATGGAATCAGTAAGGCTGGAAAAGCCCTCTAAAATGATCAACTCCAACCACTCCCCCAGCACTGCCAAGGCCACCACTAAACCATGTCCCCAAGTGCCACATCCATATGGCTTTTAAATCCCTCCAGGGTTGGCGACTTCACCACTGCCCTGGGCAGTCGGTGCCAGCACTTGACAAGCCTTCCCATGAAGAAATTTTTCCTAATTTCCCAGTCTAAGCCATTGCCCTTAACTGTATTACAAGAAACGGAGAAGAAGCAACCCCTGCCCCAGGAGGAGCTTTGCTGGGACACCACCACCCCCTCCCAGCCCTGCCACGGGGCGTTTCACCCCGGACCAGGCACCCCAAAGCCGGTTTATGGGTTTAGGGCGAAAGCCGGGACTTGCTGAGTCAGGCGGCCGGAGGAAAGCTGTGCCGCCGCGCCGGGGCAAGGCTGGATTAAAATGTGAAAGAGCCTGGTCCCGAGCCACAGCCCACTTGGGTCTGAGCTGCTCTACAGCTCGTGACTAATTACAGATGGCTCAAGAAATAAAGCAGCCCAGACTTTCTCCCAAAGGCGGGATGCAACACGCTGCCGACGCTGGTGGTGACCGATGGCAAAGCGGATAATGCGAGGATTTGTGTGCCCATCTGATCAGAGCAGCCCAAGGAATGAAACAGAAACCACACAGCACTCACCCTGGCATTCACAAAAATAAATTAAAAACCAGAACAACTCAAAAAACACCATTGCAGGCCATGCACCAACCTGCCTGGTCTTAAAGAGGAGCAGCTCGGGTTGTATTTCAGCATTTTGGGAAGGTTATAACTGTAGGCAGCCAATAAGAAAGGCCAGACACCACCTAGAAAGCCATACTCAGCTTTCTTTGGGCTCTTTCCAAGAGATCAATCCCATCCTCAGTGATCAATTTGCCATGTGCTCTCCCATCCTCGATTTTAATTTGGTTTAATAATACCAAATTGAACTAAATTGATTGGTGGGACCATCACTCCTATTTCTAACATGAGATGCTGTCTGCAGCTCTCAGTGAAGGTAAGCACCAAACTAGAAAATGGTCCTTTAAAGACAATTCCATGGAAAGAGGGAAAACACACTTTTTTTTTTTCTTTTAAGGAAAACACCAAGCTCACTCCTGTCAGCTCACAGAGGGTGAAGTCTCTTTTCCAGCTCTCCTGAAGCTCCCCAGGCTACAGGAGAGACGAAATCCAGCCTCACTAAGAGGGAGCCCCCCAGAACCCTGGGTAAGCAGCTCGTCCACCACCATTGGGTGAAAAGCTCCAACTCCCACAGGAATTCAGGAAATTCTGACACTTCAACAGAGCTGAGATGTGGAAAAATTAATAAAGCTGCTGCACTCAGCCAGAGAAGTAAACAGTGCCGAAGGGGGAAGCCAGCTGCGTGCATAGTATGTATTTTTCCTATGAGATTTACACTTAATTTGGACAAAAAGTCCTAGAAAACCAGGCAGTGTGAACACAGACACCATCACTAACACCACTGCCCTTCCATCCAGGCATTGCCTGGTGAGAGCATCGGGGGGGGTCAGTAGAAGGGCGCATGGTCCACAGGTGCTCCATCACCATTTTGGTACTTCTCTGTCTGCAGCACAGGCTTTGCAGCCTATCAAATTCAACACTTTGCCCTCCTCGACTCCTCTTCCCTGCTCTTGGAGCCAAGGCAAGAGATTTTTGGGATGGCTACAGACTCTGCTTTATCAGGTGACACAAGCCAGGACTCCTGGTGGGGTGAGGACATGGAGGCACTCTCAGTGCTGATTGATTAGGTCTTCAGCCCAAACAGGGCTTGGTTTGCAACTCACTGCCAAAAATTAGGATTATCCCCTGGGAGAAAAGCCCTTGCACCCATATAAGACCCAAACCAGCTGAGGTCAGTGGGACATCTCACACCTTTCTTCCGAAAATTAACCCTACAGTTATAGGAGCTGCAAGGAAAATCCTGGAAGACAAACCCCTTTTTTTTTTTTTTTTTTCACTGAGGCATCAGTCTGGGGACTCTATCTCCCCTCATTCCCTATGAATTACTGTTCCTGAGGTCTTTTGTGCCCTGCTTATCTGCTGCCACCCATCTGAAGCAAACCAGGGCGCCAGGGCTGGAAAACGCTGGCTCTACAGTTTACAGGACTATGGCGAAAAAACCCGGAGGAAAAGTCAGCCATAAAAAGCAAATAGGGTGCCTCTGGGTGATAATCCTTCACCCATCTCTGCAACCAGCAAAGCAGGAAGGAAACAAGGCCGACCACACACTGCTGAAGCCAGCATGGAAAGATATGGGATGCCTCCGCTGCAGCGAGACGTGTCCGCCGGGGGAGATTTCTGTCTAATGCTACTTTACCAGTTAGGAATTTGGTGGCTTAGATCAGCTTTGAAATTATGTTATGGGCGACAGCACCTTCCCACCCTGGTACGAGACACCCTTGCAAAAAAAAAAAAAAATCAAAGGGCAGATTTTCACGCGTGGATGCCTGCGGCGAATAACAGCCGAGGAAGGTGCCACGGGCTTGGCATCTGGGGAAAGAATCGGCTCCACTTACATGGCTAAATATGGATTGAGGAAAGGCTTTGTGCGTACTGTCTTTTTCAAGAAACTGGGTTGTTTTTTTTATCCCCCCCCTCGTTATTTATAATCTCGGTCTCCGTTTGTACACGGGCTAATCTCTTTGTGTACACAGCCTTCATCCACAGCATCCCAGAACGCTTCCCCTGACCGCAAACCAGCGGCCGAGCGCGGTCCTGCGCCTCCCACGCACGCTATACTGGGATACCAAAGCCACAGTCCCCTCCCCGAGCTGGTGGGTAACTTCCAGAAGAAGTCCACAGCAATTCCAGGGTCCTTGCTTAAGGAAGAGCTTCCTCCAGTTGGTGCTCCCCACATTAAGTTAGTGGGGAGCACCTTAGGAGCAGTCCTGACTGTGTACAGCCCTCCCAGATGTTCTACTGTTTCTCTGATAGATCATAAATGTCATCCTCCCACTCCATCCACATGCAGCACCATGTTTCTGTTCTGTTTCTTGCTCCATTTCCTAAATCAAGCTCTCTTCACTGCTTTTTGGGGGTCCCCTTGGGCTCCCAACTCCTCCAAAGCAAATGGATCCTGAGCAGACTGTAGCTGTCAGACTGACTTAAGCCAGAGGATCACACAGCCAGAAAATCCATGGAAGAGGGAAGCCAACTGTGACATTGGAGGTACCACAAAGTCCTCTTTACTGGGGGAGGAGGAGAGCCCCTGCTTGGGCTCTGTCCTCCCAGCCTCTTCCCCCAGCCTCATGCCCTTCCCCAGATGATGGGAAATTCCTGGTTGAGGTCAGGATATCTATTCATTGGCCACAGAGCAAAAAATACGCTGCAGGAAGAAAAGAAAAATCCTTATCCTGGAGAAAGGTCACTTATTCCTTTATGTGGGCTCAAAAGGGTGGGCTTGGGGTGCCGTGGGTGGCCAGACAAGCACGGCTGCATAAATCCACACAGAAACACATCCTGTGGCACAAGTTACATCCTAACCCAGCACTGTTATTACTATCTGCAGCCAAGGGATGGCAACAATAACAACAAACCCCACCTGGGGAGGTGTGCAAGGGGCTGAGAAGGGAAAAAATTTGGGGCTAAAGCCTAGGAAAGTTAAATTCTGGATGCTAACAGCATCCAGAGCTCCAGGGAACAGAAATCCCCTTGCTGCTTCTCAGGTGTCAGCTGCTTCCAGCATCCCTTTGCTCATGATGCCAAAGGGAGTGAGATCCTCCACGGAACCTCCACACTTCAAATCCAGGTCTCCATTCCAGACACATCACTTATTTGCTGGAGCTATAGGAACTGCCTTTAAAGCTCCCAAGCCTGCCCAAATTCACCAGCCCCAGTGCAATCTGTGTCACGGAGAAATGTCTGCAAGTTCACAGCCTCAGCAAAACTCCCAACAGGATGCTTCAAAAGGTGTGGATTACGTGCTGAAAAAATTTAAGTACTATATGTAGGCAAAATATGTATTTCTGGCTATGCTGCTCTATCATTTCTGCTTGTACAGTAACACTGGGTGCTGTATAAAAAGAAAGGAATGCCAAATTTTTTGTGCTAGTAATCAAAACTGGCTTAAGGAACTCCCAGAATAAAGCAACCAAAAAAGAAATATATAAAAAGAACCAAAAGAAAAAAAAAGCTCAAAATAAGACATTTATTCCAACCCAGGAGTAACACTGAGTGGTACCAGGAGGAAACAGCCAACGCTGGCACCTAAAACAAGACTTAAACTGGTTCAAAGGAAATCTGAAGGGCAACGGGCCAAAGGTATTAAAAAATGAGCGATTCCCCAAGCGTACCAGAGGTAGGAAACCCACAGGCAGAGCAGACGCCAGGGATAAGGAGGTAACAGAGTCATTTGAAGGAATTAAAGCCCTGTGGCAGCAAGTTACTAATGCTGAACTGTGCTCAGAAAGCCAGGAGGCTCTGAGCATGAGAACGATCAGAAAAAAAAAAAGAGAAGCCTTCCCTTAAAAAGACACTTGGTGGAAGCCAGACTGCACCTAACAGTGATTTCAGGAGAAGCTCAAGCTCACTCAGCATCATTTAAGAGGTGGGAAATGCAGAGAAAAAGTTCCTGGGGCGGTCCCAAGGTAAAACACAGGCAAGCAAGGACAGAGCAGCACCACCCAGCGTGGTGTACCCATTCCAGAGGCAGGGCACAGCCCGTGGGTGTAACAGCATGTGGCACAGTCCACCTCCGGGCAGGAGGCAGCTCAAGCATGGGACTGGTAATTTTTTCAAGCCCTTTAAATAAATATCCCTGCTCAGCCAACAGAAGGAAGGAGCAGGCAGGTAGAACCCTGTGCCAGCGTGGGGAAAGGTGACATGCCAGGTAAAGGGCGATGAATGCCGTGGACACCTAAAGCATCACCAAAATAATCAGGTTTCAGGACACCACCATTCACCTCTTAAGAGAAAACCACACCAAAACACAGGCACCACACACGAGCTGCCCCGCCAGCCCCCAGCTCACCAGTCCGTCGCAGTTGCTGATGGCCACGGCGGCTCCGGGCATGCCGGAGATGTCGCCGGTGAAAAGGCACCGCTGCTGGAGGGGTTCCCGGAAAAGCACCTCAAAATCCTCCTGCCATTCAGCCACGGCGCCCGGGGGCAGCAGCCGCCGGTTGGGCCTCAGCCGGAGGTGCAGCTCCTTCCCAAAAACCGTGACGTTGAAGTAGAGCAAGCGGCGCTGGGGGGGCTCATCTGGGGGGCTGCGGGGGACGCGGCGGTGGGATGGGGAGGGATCGGGGGGACAGGCGGGATCGCCGATCCCCGCCACCGCCTCTCCGGACACCACGTGCGAGAGGAAGCGACCCCGGCAATCGGTGCTGAACGGGACGATCACACCATACTCGCGGAGTTTGCCGGACAGGAGCAGCTCTGCGGAGACAAGACGGAGGGAAAGAGCCGCGGGCACGGAGCATCCCGCTCAGGCAGCGGGACCTCGGCGGCCAACCCAACTCGGGGAGCCTTTGGTGAGCCCCGCCGGAGCTCCATAAACCCAACAACTGCTTTTCCGTCCCAACACGGCTCCGCTTTGTAGTTTTAAGCGGGTGCGTCCAACGTAGCAGAAGGAACTCGGGCTGACGTCCCCTCGCACGCCAAGCACGCCAACTATTTCTCGCCCGGGCTCCATCTCCCCCAGTTCCCACTGAAATCAAACAGCCCCCCCCCGCCGCCGGCGGATTCTCCCCTTCTCCCCATCCCGCGGGGCGCAGCCACCTGTCAGTCCCCCCCCGTCCATCCCGCCCCGGCGGGGCCCCCCGTCCCCGGGGCAGCGGCCGTACCTGGGGCGCTGCCGGCGGCCAGGCAGCCGTGCAGGGGGACGAGGCAGGAGAGCACCAGCCGCAGATAATCCATTTGGGGCCGGCGGCGGGATGCGGCGGGATGCGGGGGCCGGCGGGATGCGGGGCGGGCGGCGCCCGGCGACCGCCTCCCCCC